TCAAAAGGGGTAACTATTGACTTTTGAGTCGACTCAAGGTGACTTTTGACTTTTGAGTTGACTCAAGGTGAATTTTGACTTTTGAGTCGACTCAAGGTAACTATTGACTTTTGAGTCGACTCAAGGTGACTTTTGACTTTTGAGTTGACTCAAGGTGACTTTTGACTTTTGAGTCGACTCAAAAGGTGACTTTTGACTTTTGAGTCGACTCAAGGTGACTTTTGACTTTTGAGTCGACTCAAGGTGACTTTTGACTTTTGAGTCGACTCAAAAGTCACCAAGACATAGATGTCACATACCTGCATCCTCTGCTGGGCCTGCGTGGTCAATGGCAGATGCCACGGTGGCAGAGCCAGCAGCAGCCGTTGATCTTGCCACGTGGTCAACCCTCAGTGCTGTGCCCGCCCCAGGCCCTGCCACTCCTGCTGCTAGCGATGCAGAGACATCTGATAAGGAAAGGGGGAGGAAGAGACGTAGAGATAGACGGAAGAATGGAGTTCGAAAGGGAGGGAGAAGGGACGGGAGGAAGGGAGGGGGCAACGACCCATTTTGACAATCACGCATGGCGGACAATCCTCTTCTCTTACCAGATGTCTCTGCGTCACTAGCAGCAGGAGTGGCAGGGCCTGGGGCGGGAGGAAGGGAGAAGGGGGCAATTACGCATGGCGGACCATCCTCTTCTCTTCTCTTACCTGGTTCCGCCTTGGTGGTTGAAGCACTTGACTCGGACATCACACTCGACTCGGAGACTGGAGGGTTCCTGCCAACCGCACTCCCCTCACCATGCCCACCTGACACACCGACACTCACATACACGCACCACCAGGTTCCGTACAATATACAATCCCTTGACTCGTCATACCTCGTTGTGTCTTGGTGGTTGAAGCACTAGACTCGGACATCACACTCGACTCGGAGACCGGAGGGTTCCTGCCAACCGCACTCCCCTCACCATGCCCACCTGACACACCGACACTCACATACACGCACCACCAGGTTCCATACAATATACAATCCCTTGACTCGTCATACCTCGTTGTGTCTTGGTGGTTGAAGCACTTGACTCTGATGTCACACTCGACTCGAGTGGCTTACCTGCCCACAGCACTCTCCACCGCATTCAACCCATCCGTACCTGGTTCCGCCTTGGTGGTTGAAGCACTTGACTCGGATGTCACACTCGACTCGGGAACGGGAGGCTTCCTGCCAGCTGCACTCTCCGCCACGCCCACCTGAAACACTCACAATCACAAAATCACATCGCAATCACAAAGGATTATTTTTAGTCGACTAAAAAATCACCTGAAACATTCACAATCACAGAATCACATTGCAATCACACACAATACCGGATATAGGCAGACCCAACACAGGTATAACGCCCTCTTAACCTCGAGCAGCTATACATCAGCTTTGTCCACCATGTCACTCCCAATCACAGAATTCGACATAGTCAAACCCCCCTAAACCCCCTCCCTTTCCGTCCCAAACCTATCTCTCCGTACCTCGGACGCAGGTTCGTCGTCGTTTTCGTCCTTGAGTTGTTGCATGAGCGTGCGACGGAAAGTCTCGAGCTAGAGACGAGAGGAGTGTGTGGGGGGGAGGCGATGGGGACGGGAGAGGACAGAGGGAGAGGAGGGAAATGAGAGGGGGAGCGGAATGGGAATGGACGAACGAAACGAGATGCAGGAACGACGGAAGAACGAAACAATGCGACAACGGCGAAGAAGTCCAGTGCAAGCTGTTGCGAAAAGGCGTTACAGAGTGTCTCTCGCCTTCGTGACTCATCTTTCGCGCTTGAGATTCCTGAGTCGACAGACTCAACAATTGAAATGAAGTATCCTACCTTGGCGACGTCTCTGTTGAGTTTCTTGACCATCGCCACAAGAGCAGTCTTCTCGCCAGTGAGCTTGGCCTGGAACGAGAGAGAACAGGGTAACGCACGTGACAGGATAGCAAGACAGGCACGCCAGTTCGGAACAGCCAATGCATGGCAACAAAGGAAGAAACAAAAGCGCGATAGAATTGCGATGTCCAGAGAGATTTGCGAAAAGAGAGAGAGAGAGAGAGAAGGAAGAGAGCGCGGATTCACGTGATAAAGCAATATCTTCTCTCAAAGTTGCCTAATAACCACACTGCCCTCCTTTCAACAGCATTACCTGATCAGCGACGTGAAGAAGAAGAAGAAAAAAAACTACAAACCCGTAGCAATACCTGCTCTTCTTCTGCAGCCTCTCGCTTCTCATTGGCTTCCTTAAGCGTGAGTTCCAAGTCTGCAACTTTTGCCTCCAACGCGTTAATCGACGATTGGCTCTCGCCTAAGCTTCCCTTGAGCCGACCCGCCTCCGCTTCTAAAGAGTGGATACGCGCCGTGAAGGCCTGAGCGGCTATTAATCGGGATAAGTTAAGGAGGTCGAAGGGATCGGCGGGTAGGACGTCTTTAACTACAGCGGGAATTTCATCTTGCGAAATGACGCCATTGCTTCCCACGTGATTCTCCATGTTCATCCAATCTATTGCGGTGAATCCTGGAAGGTGTCTGGAGGTGGGGTTCTATATCGGAACTTGATCGTCGAAAGGCGGGCCTGCACGTCAGAAAGTTACTTTACTAAGTGCCACTTAAATGACGCTGGACACGGTCCCTGCTTCAACGAGCTGGATCACTTCGCGGTTTCCCATGGAGAAAACAGACGAGGATGCTTTCGAAGCTGAGTCAAGTAAATGCACCCGAACTAGGACCGCCAGATAATGCGGTGAATACGGAAAAGAAAGACGCGTACAGAACCCCTTTCCACCCCTTTCCGAACCGACTGCACGTATTAAATAACCAGAAACCTTAGCTTTATGACGTGGTAAAACAGAACCAAGGAGAAGAATCCGTGGCAGGGACAGAATACGAAAGCGTGGTTGTCAATGGAGTGGGAATCAGGGACGCGATGACTACTAACGGCAAACGAGGAACGACCTAGAGCAAGGTCGTCGTCGGTCTAAGTTTCGACTACTACTCACCAGCTGTATCTAGATGTTCTAGGAGTAAATACTGTTCCAGATGCTGTCAGTGAGGCCTTGCATATCGTTTTGTGCTTGGCCGCATCAGGTGGATGAGAAGGCTTTGATGGTTCCGCACCTAAACTTTCGGGACTCTAGGCAAGGCTTGGGGCAAGCTCAGGCGGGAAAATGTGGCTCGGGCTATTCGACCTTCGTGATGTGTGTCGCACTTAGCAGGAAATTGCGGGGTGCACAATCCGCACGGGGATAATAACCACACATTTACATGTTTAGCAAAAACTCGCATGATTCTGCTCTCACCAGCCTTTGGTTATCGGAGGAGCAGGTCTGGGCCACGGCTCCAGGTTCTGGAAGCAGGTTGCGAAGCGCGCGTGAAGTGCGGATGTCCGTACCTCCATGCTGGGCTCGGAGGTCCACGAACCCAGGACACAGCGTCCCCCAACATACAGCAAATCTGGAACACATGTTTTTCGTAGTTGCATTTCTGTTCGGCGTGTTCCGCTGTTATTAACCAACCTAACTGAGATAGCTTCAATCGAGGTACCTTGGATGCTAGCATCTTTTGCTGTTCCCCTGGATATTCCCCCCCCCTGATACTGTCGGGTTGGCTCAACTACTACTGTAATGAGTCGCCAAGACTCGATGCCAAAACTTCCTTTACACCCACTCTTTGTATCGCACTTGTCAGGAACTGCTTTCACGTAGCTAGTAGCAGCTCTTGTTCCACTACGCAATTACGTAAGAGCGACGACTGCCTTGCGACTCGAGCAGTTACGATCCAAGGTAACTTCACTGCCGAGTTCACTTTAATCTCGTCGAGCTGCCGCGTCGTCATCCTGACCCATTGGCGCGGACGAGAACGATCACCTTCTGACCGCGGCCCATACGTCTTTAACGCAATGAGACGAATCCGCGCTCACTGAGCCTCGCAGACGCTGCGGGGCGCCTAGCTGCCTTTCGAGTCGACTCAAAAGTCACGAATCGCGCTATTGACGCGCTACTACATACCAAGTTAATCGATACCAAGGTTCGCACTAGTTTTTGCCATGGCTTCACCGACAACCGACGGCAAGAAGGAGAGCTCACACCACCACCATCACCACGCCTCCTACAACGCGATCCGCGGAAACCTCGAGCGCGCGCTGCGCGGAAGCATCGAGCGGATGCGCGGGGCGCGGGGGAGCATCGAGCGCAACGCTACCGCCGTCGGCGGAAACTTAGAGCGCGCCATCCGCATTGCGCGCGGAAACCGTCAATTGCCCGCGTACCTCCTCTTCCTCGTCGCGCTGATCTCCCTGACGGTCCTTATTTCCCAGTCCTCTGATTGGACGCCGTCCGCGGTCTTCGACAACGCCGATTCGATAACGGTCTCTTTTCCCGCCAAAACTGATTCCAGCCAGCCGAGCGGCGCGAAGGCAGAAGCGGGAGGTGCGAAAACTGACGGTGCTGGTAACGGACCTGAGGGTTCATCGCAGCCGTCCGCTGGGGGACCATCTAACGGCAGCCAGAGCGCGTCAGCTACCGATACCCCCACAACCACTGCCCCCCCCAGCAGCGGTAGTCCCAGCAGCAGCAATCCCAGCGGCGGTATCAGCGGCGAAGGCAGCAGCGCCAACGCTCATAGTGGCGCCACTAGCGCGGGAAATGGCGACACCGGGAGCAGTGGGAGCAATGACAGTAGCGGGGACAGCAGCGGCAGCAGCAGTAGTAGCGGGAGCAGCGGTGGTAACTCGTCAAGTGGAGCGCTGCTGACGTCAGACTCCCCAGTGGTTACTCAGCTTTTGGCGGGAAACCTGACAGCCGAGAAAACGCTAGTCTGGGAGACCCCCTGGCTGGGCGTTACTAAGGAGGAGTATTTAATATCGGGAACTAAGTACTTCTACGTTCCGTCTGCGGGCGATCTGTGCATGGGGATGGGGCATTTCAAGTGGAGCCTGGTGTGTAGGCTGTCAGAGGCCGCGTTCTTAAATCGAACGCTGGTGTTGGATACGATGGTGTGCTTAAACGGGGCGCATACTAACGAGGGGTATGGGCTGGTGCGGCCGCTCTATGCCTACTTCGACTTGCACCAGCTGAAGAGGTAACGACTGCCAGGACTCAGAATGGTATGGATGGGTCAAAAGTGGTGCAGAAAGTATGGGCTGGTGCGGCCGCTGTATGCCTACTTTGACTTGCACCAGCTGAAGAGGTGAGGGTGGGAGGGGAGAGGTGGGTGAGGGTTGGGGGGAGCAGGAAAGTCTGTCAGGGCTCAGAATGGTATGGGTGGGTCGAAAGCGGTGCAGGGGGGTATGGGCTGGTGCGGCCGCTGTATGCCTACTTCGACTTGCACCAGCTGAAGAGGTGAGGAGGGGAGGGGAGAGGTGGAGAGGGGAGGGGAGGTGGTTGAGGTGAGGGGAAAGCAGGAACATCTGTCAGGGCTTCATAGCAGTCACACCCCATCCGCCCATCTCGCCACGCTCATCGCTCCCAAGCCCTCTCTCTCCCCTGCCCGATCTGCCTTCCCCGCCCCAGCCATCTCCCCTTCACTCCCTTACAGGGCTTCAGAGCAGTCGCCCCGTCCGCCCATCTCGCCACGCTCATCGCTCCCAAGCTCACTCTTCCCTCTTCCCCTCCTTCTTTTCCCAGCCACCTCCCATTCACTCCCTTGCAGGGTTTCAGGGCAGCACCATCCGCCCATCGCTCCCACATCTTCCCTTCGTCCCCCCTACCCCCACTGCTTCCCCAGCCTCCTCCCCTTCCCTCCACTACAGGTTTTCAGGGCAGTCGCCCCATCCGCCCATCGCTCCACTCTCATCGCTGCCATCTCTTCCCTTCTCCCCTCCCCCCCCCCCTTTCTCTCTCCCTACCCAACAACCTATCCCTCTTCAGCCACCTCCCCTTCCCTCCACTACAGGTTTTCGGGGCAGCAGCACCATCTGCCCATCTCTCCACTCGCCACTCTCATCGCTCACAACCTCATTCAACCTATCCCTCTCCAGCCTCCTCCCCTTCACTCCCTTACAGGGCTTCAGAGCAGTCGCCCCGTCCGCCCATCTCGCCACTCTCATCGCTCTCAAGCTCGAGCCAGCAGCAGCGCTGGCAGAGGGGGAGAGGAGGGACGCGCAGTTGATCATTCGGAATCTCACCTCTTCAACGGATTCTGGATTCGCCTCGTGTGATGCACCTGAGGGGGCGGTGAGTCGCTCGCAATGTTGGTGGCAGGTAGTTTGTACGCAAAAGGGGAGAGGCTTTCAGAGTTTTGTGTCAACTTAAAACTCAACGCCCCACCGCCCCCCCCCCCCCCCCCCTTCCCCCCCTGCCTTTTTTTGTGTTTGCCCGTTCCGGCAGTCGCTCCCGCGCAACTGGTCTCTGCTGCCCATGAGAAAAGAGCTCCAGTGGGTGATTTCCAACATTACACTCCAAATGAACAACAGCAACTACGACGTGGTGCACGTACGGAGGGGAGACAAGGTCTTGGATTCAAAACGATGGCCCAATCTTGACAAGGACACACGGCCCGACAGGTAAATGATTGGTTGTTGATTACAGTGCGGATGTGGTATTCCATTCCATGTGGGGCATGCATATGCGGCGAGGACACACGGTGCTCCTGGACTCCAAACGATGGCCCAATCTTGACAAGGACACACGGCCCGACAGGTAAATGGTTGGTTGTTGATTACAGTGCGGATGTGACATTCCATTCCATATGGGGCATGCATGTGCGGCGAGGAGACACGGTGCTGCTGGACTCGAAACGATGGCCCAATCTTGACAAGGACACACGGCCCGACAGGTAAATGATTGGTTGTTGATTACAGTGCGCATGTGACAATCCATTCCATGTGGTGCATGTGGAGGGGAGACAAGGTCCTGGACTCGAAACGATGGCCCAATCTTGACAAGGACACACGGCCCGACAGGTAAATGGTTGGTTGTTGATTACAATGCGCATGTGACAATCCATTCCATGTGGTGCATGTGGAGGGGAGACAAGGTCCTGGACTCGAAACGATGGCCCAATCTTGACAAGGACACACGGCCCGACAGGTAAATGGTTGGTTGTTGATTACAATGCGCATGTGACAATCCATTCCATGTGGTGCATGTGGAGGGGAGACAAGGTCCTGGACTTGAAACGATGGCCCAATCTTGACAAGGACACACGGCCCGAGAGGTATTTGATTCCTGGATGATTAGAAGAAAGAGCGAGTGTCTGTGTGGTCATAGTTTGCATCTGACTGAGAGTATGTGCAAGGGGGAGGGGGGGGGGGGGGGGGGGACAGGACAAAGTGCTGGACTCGAAGCAATAGCCCAATCTGGACAGGGATACACGGCCTGAGAGGTATGTGATTGGTGGGTGTGTGCACGAACCACTCCCCCATCCAGTCTCCTCAAGCGTCTACTGGAGCTGGTTCAGCCAGGTCGGTTCCTCTACATCTCAACAGACGAACGTTCTCCAGGCTTCAAGGCTTCCCCTGTTCCCTCTCCCACTCTGTCCCCCCTGCCAGTCTCCTCAAGCGTCTACTGGAGCTGGTTCAGCCCAGCAGGTTCCTCTACATCTCAACGGACGAGCGCACCCCGGGCTTCAAGGCCTCCCCTATTCCCTCTCCCTCTGTCCCCCCATCCAGTCTCCTCAAGCGTCTACTGGACCTGGTTCAGCCAGGTCGGTTCCTCTACATCTCAACGGTCAAGCGCACCCCGGGCTTTCTTCGACCCCCTGAAAGACTTACACCCCTCTCCCTCCTTTTCCTTGTATCCTCTGCTATTCTCCATCCCTCCAGCCTCCTGAAACGTCTACTGGAGCTGGTTCAGCCCGGTCGGTTCCTCTACATCTCAACGGTCAAGCGCACCCCGGGCTTTCTTCGATCCCCTGAAAGACTTACGCCCCTCTCCCTCCTTTTCCTTGTATCCTCTGCTATTCTCCATCCCTCCAGCCTCCTGAAGCGTCTACTGGAGCTCACTCAGCCCGGCCGGTTCCTCTACATCTCAACGGTCAAGCGCACCCCGGGCTTTCTTCGACCCCCTGAAAGACTTGCTCCCTTGTCCCTTCTTTTCCTTGTATCCTCTGCTATTCTCCATCCCTCCAGCCTCCTGAAGCGTCTACTGGAGCTCATTCAACCAGGCCGGTTCCTCTACATTTCAACGGACGAACGTTCCCCGGGATTCTTCGACCCCCTGAGAGAGAAGTTCAACGTTCGGATGCTGGGGGATTTCAAGGACTTATGGGGGCCGGGGAGCGCGTGGTATCAGGACTACTCGGACATGCTGGGGAAGGATGTTACTTTTGACTCGTACATGGAGGTATGCTGTGCGGTGGTGTGCGGTCTTATGCAGTTGTGTGCGGTGGAGTGCGGTGATGTGGTGTTGAGGCTCGTCACATGCTGCTGGGGGATTTCAAGGACTTATGGGCGGCGGGTAGCGCGTGGTATCAGGCCTACTCGGACATGCTGGGGAAGGATGTCACATTCGACTCGTATATGGAGGTATGCTGTGCGATGGTGTGCGGTGCTGTGCGGTGGGGCACAGCGGTGGGCGGTGGTTTGCGGTGTTGAGGCTCGTTCCATGATGCTGAGAGATTTCAAGGACTTGTGGGCGCCTGGGAGCACGTGGTATCAGGTCTAATCGGACATGCTGGGAAAAGACGTCACCTTTGACTCGTATATGGAGGTATGCCTTGCGGTGGTGTGCGGTGGTGTGTGGTGGTGTGCCATTGAGGCTCGTCACATGCTGCTGGGAGATTTCAAGGACCTGTGGGCGCCGGGGAGCGCGTGGCATCAGGTCTACTCGGACATGCTGCGGAAGGATGTTACCTTTGACTCGTATATGGAGGTATGCTGTGCGGTGGTGTGCAGTGCTGTGCGGTGGGGCACAGTGGTGAGCAGTGGAGTGCGGTGGTGTGGTGTTGAGGCTCGTCACACGCTGCTGAAAGATTTCAAGGACCTGTGGGCGCCTGGGAGTGCGTGGTATCAGGTCTTCTCGGACATGCTGGGGAAGGATGTCACCTTTGACTCGTATATGGAGGTATGCTGTGGGGTGGTATGCACTGATGTGCGGTTGTGTGCAATGATGTGCGGTGGAGTGCGGTGGTGTGCTGTTGAGGCTCGTCACATGCTGCTGGGGGATTTCAAGGAGCTTTGGGCGCCTGGGAGCGCGTGGTATCAGGTCTACTCGGACATGCTGGGGAAAGACGTCACCTTCGACTCATATATGGAGGTATGCAGTGCGGTGCTGTGCGGTGGTGTACATTGGTGTATGCTGTGGGATGTGGAGGTATCGGGTGCGGTGGTGTGCAGTGGTGGTATCTTTTTTACGCTTGTCACATGCTGCTGAAGGACTTCAAGGTGGTGGGGTGCCCTTTCACGCCCCTCCTACCTGTGCTGCATCTTTCTTCAACTTCCCCTCCATCCCTCATCCATCCAGGCAATGGTGGACTACGAAGTTACAAGGCTGGCTCAGGAGGCCATTGAGACGTTTAGCGACTTTTCTTTTTACCTTGCATGAAGCTTCTTCTTCACCTTGCCTCTGCTGTGTGTGTGCCCTCCCTCTTTCATCCAGGCAATGGTGGACTATGAAGTTACAAGGCTGGCTCAGAAGGCCATTGAGACGTTCAATGACCTCACCAGTGATCCAAGGGATGGCATTCAATGATCTATTTCTCCTGTATTGAGGGTATGTAGCTGACATCTGATCTGAATGCTTCATATATGTAGTACTGGAACGTTCAGCAGTGCAGTGTCATCGAATCGAATGTGAAGTTTACCCTTACCCAAACTGTACCTGCTGTGCCTCTAAGTTGAATTCGAAAAGGCACATCCACTGTACCAGACAGCATTGAACTGCAAAATCTAATCAGGCTCAGGCCGAGCTACCTTGCTCCCTTCTACCGTAAGATTCAATACAACGTAAAGTGCACCAGCTCAGACAACAGTGCTGCCCAAAGCATAAAAAGGCCCAATCCTACGTGCAGAGGACCACTGTGACTGGTGAATGAGAGAGCCTTTGTGCCATTGTCAGAGAGCCCTGACCCTGAATGAAAAGCTTGGGTGCATGGGCTGAGGAATGAATTCACAGCACTGACTGGAGAAGGTGGGCTTGAGGAAAACGAGTGAAAGGCTACGAAAGGGAGAAGAATGTGTGTAGGTGGGGAGTGGGGCGAAGGAAGACCTCGCATCTACTTTGCCATCATCATCTTTACAAACTCCTCATAATTAACTTGGCCATCCCCATCCACATCTGCTTCCCTAATCATTTCGTCAACCTCCTCATCCGTCAGTTTCTCTCCCAAATTCGTCATCACATGCCGAAGCTGCAAAATACCGAGTATGGATCTTAGTAATAATATTTCCTGCAAAAAAAATGGGAAAAAAAGTCCACAAAAAAAACTCTAGGCTTTATAACTTTCACACGGCCCACGTACCTCCTGTGCCGAAATAAAACCGTTCTGGTCTTTGTCAAATACCTTGAACGCTTCTTTTAGCTCCTCTTCGGAATCGGTATCCTGAGGTAGATCGCACGCGAATGTTAGAAAGGGACCTGAAATGTCTTAAAGTAGTGCCTTGAATACTGACCTTCATTTTCCTCGCCATAAGGTTCAGGAACTCGGGGAAGTCAATTGTGCCGTTGCCGTCAGCGTCAACCTCATTAATCATATCTTGCAACTCGGCCTCCGTCGGATTCTGTCCCAAGGACCGCATGACAGTGCCAAGCTCTTTCGTTGTGATGCTGCCTGAAAAACGAAGAACAACTTGAGAAGTTAAATTCCATGACAGGAGCGGAAATTTTCGCTCCGAAGCACGAGATAGTACAGCATACGACATTAGCATGCTGAAAGAAGTCGTCCTAGATCTTGCTATTTACTCATGACGCCATGTCACAACCCACGTCTCAACCACCCAACGCACCATCTCCATCTTTATCGAATAAGCTGAAAGCTTCCTTGAACTCCGCAATCTGATCCTCTGACAACTGGTCGGCCATTTCAAGATAAGAACACGGATTCTAGTGGTCCCACCGTAACGTAAGTACGGATGAGCAAACCACGCTAGAGACGGCACGTAGAAAGTTCTAGGACACGTTAGCTCCAGTCAAACTCATCGAAGAGGGGGACCTTGAACAGAGAAAGAAACCCCCAAAATGTCACTCGATGACATGGCTTCGGTAACTGATCAGTGGTAATAATTCACTCATTGTTAACTTCCTCCACGAAGAAGCAAATTCTTTTTCCCGTTTCTCATTTGTTCTGGAAAATGGAGGTAAAATGGTGTGTATCCTATGGAATTCGACAAAATCACTACCACACGCATATTGTGTTGCGTTCATGGAACTACCACTATAACCATGCTGCAACGGCTTGTCTTCCTACACCTTGCTAGAAGGAAAATACATATGGTGTCTGTAAGCTAAGCACCATTTGACATTTTCATTCTGGATCCTATATATGCTGCTGGTCTACCTTGCAAAATATAACCTGAAAAGCACGGACTGACAACAACTAGAATCTAGCCTACTTAGCCATCATCATTTTCACGAACTCCTCATAATTCACTTGTCCATCTCCATCCACATCAGCCTCCCGAATCATCTCATCAACCTCCTCATCTGTCAACTTCTCTCCCAAATTCGTCATCACGTGCCGAAGCTGCAAAAAAAGGAAATGGAATTGCAAGAAATAAAGACGCGTTCATAACTAAGAGGGAAGCAGGCTGAGAAGGAAATGGGCATGCGAGATGAAGACGCGATTATGATGAAGAGGAAATATCACGCGAACAAGCCAAAACCAAGCATGCGCGTACCTCCTGCGCCGAGATGAATCCGTTTTGGTCCTTGTCGAACACCTTAAACGCCTCCTTCAATTCCTCCTCAGAATCGGTGTCCTGCATCGAAAACAATACAGATGTCAATATTTTGATCCACTACAGCCTGATCGTGCATATTCAGAAGATAATGAAACACACTTACCTTCATTTTCCTCGCCATAAGGTTCAAAAACTCTGGAAAGTCGATCGTTCCGTTACCATCCGCATCGACTTCGTTGATCATGTCTTGAAGCTCAGCCTCAGTTGGATTCTGCCCCAACGAACGCATGACGGTTCCGAGCTCCTTCGTTGTGATGCTACCTGTGAGAATGCGAAACATGACATCTTAGGGCAGATCTTAACAATAATACCATGTTCCTACTCTGTTCCAACGTCACTTTGGACCAAAAAAAGACATCTTTCTCCAATGTCTGAAACCCGCACGCACCATCTCCATCCTTGTCGAATAAGCTGAAAGCTTCCTTAAACTCAGCAATCTGATCCTCGGACAATTGATCGGCCATTGAAGCGGCTAAAGTAACGGGAGAAAATTAGAATCTGCACGAATGCCGTAGCAAAACAACACCCTGCGCCGATCTACTAGGTGCTGATAAAAGTGTGGCTTCAGAAACTCTCCAATACAAGACAACTAGTGAGAGAGACCCTCAAATGTGATTGCAAGGAACAAGGACTTCCACCCAAATCCCGCCAGGCTTCACTTCTGGAACAACAGCAGAGGGTGTCGCATTGTCAGATTTCCCTCCTGAGGCAGAAGACTTGTTAGTCGTTCCGTGCGTCGCATGAATTTTAGCCGTTGGATGAAAACGTTCGTTGGGAGCGGGCATTAGTCCACCGTCGATGGCAGGCATGGTTTATAACACAGATGTTTCGGTTGGGGTGTTTCGTGGTCGCATGTGCGACATGCCACGACGCCTGATAGGGAGGACCACCGCAGCTACGACTTGCTGTGAGACTAATACACTAGATACAGTGTTTATATGAATTGTTATGCACATTATGCTTTTCCTATCCCATCCCCTCATTTTGTCACGTTTGGTTTCGAATGCTAATTTCAGTATGATTGAAAATTATTCGTGCATTCGAATGGTTTTAAACTAGATCTAACAAGAACTACCATAGTTGCAGCAGAATATAGTGTTGATTATCTCCTGATACCGTATCACCCCGGATATAGGCGCATATGCGCTTATAATAAAACCGGTTTTTTTAGGGGGGGGCGCTTGTAATTGAGTCACGGCCATAAGCGCCGGCGCTTATATAATGACATATACAGAAATAAAACTTAAACGCATCAAAATGTACACATTTCAGTCTCGGTAGTTCAATCGAGTCGATATTTTAAAGCGTCCAGAATCAGAATGGCGTGAGGGCGATTCTCTGACGCTGCACAGAGATTTTGACACGTCAATTTGCCAGCGTGCCACCTCATCCTGACTGGACGCGAAACCAGTCAATACCGCGAAAGTCAAACAAAGTGAAAATGGGTGCTGACTCGCTTGAAATATGAAACTCGTTACCGTTTTAATCAGGATTGAAAAATATAATTACGGATGCGCTTATAATAAATCAGGGTTTCACAGGGGGGGCGCTTATAATCGAGTTCCGGCCATAAGCGCCATGCTCCAGATATAAGCGCCGGCGCCCTTAATCGGACGGCGCCTATATCCGGGGCGATACGGTACCATCCTTTACTGAAGACATTTGTGTGCCCACACAGAGCATTTTTTACATATATCCCGATACAGCTTCAGCATGAGACTGGAATTACCGGCAAGGGTTGCTCATTGAGAGAAACGGCTGGTATGACTGAATGGGTGCTGTGGTCAATCATTTGGTGCTTTCATTAACACAAGACAAGAACATCAGCATCACTACGCACAGCATGACTCCGCATTGGCCTGAGATGCAAGACTAGCCCGATTCAATCCAAACATAAAATGCCCTACACCTAGCCCAACAACAATAGCAATGAAGATCCCTCCATTGAAGGACATGGCGGTTAGCATGAGGAGGTAGGCCAGTGCAGACGTGGCGATGTAGAGCAGGGAGAGAGGCAGCTTGTCTGCCCAAGAAAGCCGGGCTGGAGGACGTGAGGTTCCAGCAAGCCTGAAGTGGGAGGAGAGGAAGGTAAAGAGACGGGAAAACCTGAGGGAAATTGAATTGGAGCGGCGTTGGCCTTCCCTGGAATCCCAAAAGATGCATCCACTGAAGCTGACAATTCAAGGCCATAAGAAAATGCAAAAAATCAATATCAAAGTGCTAAAAAATAAGGGGCGCGGGATTTATAGAGGTGAAGGATTGCGAGACGGAAATAGCACAGGACAAGTCAGCGCTTGTTGATGAGAACTTCAATGCTGCCAGGTTGATTCGGAGACTCTCAACAAGGACCTCCTGGTATGCGAGGGCGACCGTAGCTACGACAATTACAAGTGCGAAGCGCTCTTACAGTGGCGTGCTCGTGGATTCGTCGGAAGCAGCGCTCGCCCGCGCGAGCTTTCCCGCTGCCACGTTGACGCGCAGAGAGTTCAGGCCCTCGTACGCGATACTGGCGAGCGCGACAAGCGCGATAGCGAGGCAGTACTGCGGAAGTGTATGCGTGTGCCAAGAGGAGAAGAGGATGGTGGCCTCCACGCCCCAGTAGAAGGTCATGTGCATCATGGCTGCTAATGATACAGAGACGCGAGTCGCCACTAATCGCCCTGCTGCGCGGTTGGTTGTCCCTTTGCCTCGAATTCGTTCTTGGACGCGCTGTTTCTCCTTAGACTCTGGCTTTCTCAACGACGCGTCTGCAGGCGACGAAGTGCAAAAACGAAAGAGCTCGTTTTACGGCAAAACGCAGCAGACGCTGTGTGTGAAAATTGATCAGGTTTCCATAATGGCTCGCACAATCAGCATAGACATCACAGGACATGCAAAAGCACCAGAAACAGGAGCGAAGAGGAGATGCAAGGGGCGAAATTGGCGCGGAAAAGACTGGCGAAAACTGCACTGGGTAACGAAAGCTGTGACAAGGAGCACCAAGGGCGCAAGTCGTCGTACGCGACGATCGCAAATGAAGGGAGTGGTGCTTTCGTGTAGTGGTATTGAGGGATTGGCTTAGGTGCGGCACGTTATGCAGGTTTTTAATGCTTCACCTTTCATTCGCGAACACCTCCAGCGATCACAGTTCTCCAGGGATGACATGACACCCAGGAAAATTGGCAGCGACTGGTGCAATTTGGTCGCTGCTGGGCTGTCGTTCGGAAATTTCGCCACCTCTTTCATCGCTGTACGACTTCGTCTCGCGTTTCATGTTTGGCCCCTGTATGATCTTCTCCCATGATATGGCACTTTTTGGCCATCAATTTCTAGCCATGTGGCATGAACGGGCATCCGGACAAGTACGGTATTTGGCGGGTTCTTGTACGATCTGAACGCTCCATATCCTCGTTGTAATGTCATTGTCGATCACATCAAACCAGTGACTACTGCTTAGAGATCCGCACTTGTTTTCAAATGACATATCTTTTGTCGCACCTTACTGAAGTGTCCACTGCGACTAATTTGCCCTCATCCCTAGGATATGTGTCTCGAGATGCCTCCGAGTTCGTTGGTGTGACCAGGCTAACGTGTCTCTTCCACTATTTTCGTCTCCATTCGTCTCGTCTCGCCTCCCTTCGCCTCGTTTCGCCTCGTTTCGCCTCGCCAGTCGTGATGAGCGTACAGCTAGAGATATGCGTCGAAACGGTGGCCTCCGCAATCGCCGCTCATAAAGGTGGCGTTCTGCTGAATTCTGCCGAACTCTGTCAAAATCTGCCAAATTTTGTTGAAATCTGCCGAATTCTCTTAAATGCGCCGAATTCTGCTCTGCTGCTGCTGCTGCTGCCGTGCTGCCAAGTTCTAGTTTGAATAACCACCCTTACCTCTGCATCCTCCCCCTTATATTACCATCCAATCCCTGCTTGACAGGTGGCGCTCATCGAGTGGAGCTGTGCTCAGGGCTGGTGGAAGGAGGGGTCACACCCAGTATAGGCTGTGAGTGAGCGTTGTTCTTGTGATTCCTCCCTGCCCTCTCTTGTTTCCGTCCTACTCTCCCTTTTGACTTGAGTCGACTCAAAAGTCGTCTCAGGGTTGGTGTAAGGAGGGATCAGTCCCAGTAGAGGCTGTGAGTGGGCGAATTTCCTTCCTTTCTTTCTTTGTTTGTTTGGATTTTGTTTTTCCTCCTCCCAGCTCCATGCATGTCGCAAAGGTGGTGACGGCAGTTGTTCAGGCAACCTTCATCATGCATGTCTGTTTCTCTCTCCTTTCTCCTTTCCCATCCCCACCCCATACCTACCCCATCCCCACTTCATCCCCAATGTCATGCATGTCCCAAGTGGTGACGGCAGTTGTTCAGGCAACCTTCATCATGCATGTCTGTTTCTCTCTCCTTTCTCCTTTCCCATCCAAACCCCATCCCCCAATGTCATGCATGTCTGCTTCTCTCTCCTTTCTCCTTTCCCATCCCCACCCCATCCCATGCATGTCATGAATGTGCCAAAAGTGGTGACGACTGTTGTGCAGGCAATTCCCATTCCCGTGCACGTGCTTATTCGTCCTCGGGCGGGCGATTTCGTCTTTAGCGAAGAAGAGATGAAGGTCCGCTGCCTGTAAGCCCTTGCTTGCACCGCATTCACTCCCTTGCGCATTCACTCATTTTCACATTCACTCATTTTCACATTCACTCATTCACTCCCTTGCACATTCAATCATTTTCACATTCACTCATTTTCACATTCACTCATTTTCACATTCACTCATTCACTCCCTTGCACATTCACTCATTTTCACATCCGCTCATTCACTCCCTTGCACATTCACTCATTTTCACATTCACTCATTCACTCCCTTGCACATTCACTCATTTTCACATTCACTCATTCACTCCCTTGCACATTCACTCATTTTCACATTCACTCATTCACTCCGTTGCACATTCACTCATTTCCACATTCACTCATTCACTCCGTTGCACATTCACTCATTTTCACATTCACTCATTCACTCCCTTGCACATTCACTCATTTCCACATTCACTCATTCACTCCGTTGCACATTCACTCATTTCCACATTCACTCATTCACTCCCTTGCACATTCACTCATTTTCACATTCACTCATTCACTCCCTTGCACATTCACTCATTTTCACATTCACTCATTCACTCCCTTGCACATTCACTCATTTCCACATTCACTCATTCACTCCGTTGCACATTCACTCATTTTCACATTCACTCATTCACTCCCTTGCAACATTCACTCATTTCCACATTCACTCATTCACTCCGTTGCACATTCACTCATTTCCACATTCACTCATTCACTCCCTTGCACATTCACTCATTTCCACATTCACTCATTCACTCCCTTGCACATTCACTCATTTTCACATTCACTCATTCACTCCCTTGCACATTCACTCATTTTCACATTCACTCATTCACTCCCTTGCACATTCACTCATTTCCACATTCACTCATTCACTCCCTTGCACATTCACTCATGTTCACACTCACTCATTCACTCACTCACTCGCCCAATCCCTTCCTCACTTACTTACCCACTCACTCATTGTCAACGCCGTTTGTCATTTGACAATTTCCCATGCTCGTTACCCGCGCCTGTTACCATTTCGTGCCAACATTATCCAACAGAAGTGGTTGTAGTACCCAACAATCTCATGTCATTTTGAGACGTCTCAAAACGTGTTTTGAGACGTCTCAAAACAACATTATCCAACAAGAATGGCCATAGTTCCGGACAATCTCATGTCATTTCTGTACCTGTTATAGCATTTGCCTCTATGCCTAGAGGCTATAACTCAACTCAAAATGCTTCTCCTGCCAGTTGATAGCCCTTGCGTGCATGGCTACACCTATGAGTTGCCTGAAAATACATGTTCTTGAACGTTACAGAAACCCATGCATCTATGGGTACAGGCCTCGGTATGTGACTCAATTGGGTGTCAGTCTGTTCATTTCAACATTGAGAACGGTTTTGTGCTGGTTTTGTGCTACTATATCATTTCCTTAAGTTTCCAGGCCATGAAATGTGACATTGTGGCATTTCCTACCTGCTAATAGCTTGTGCCTCTATGGCTACAGGCTGTGTTGTGTTCTTGCGGCGCCTCAAAAGCCGTTGTGACATTTCCTGACCTGGTACTATCCCGTGCCTGCCTCTATGGCTACAGGCCACGGAATGTGACTAGATTGGGTGTCTAACTGTTAATTACTTTGTACCTATGCTACTATCTCATTTCCGATTGCGCCCAGGCCATGGAGTGTGACATTAAAGAGTGTGCTAAAGCCGGGGCGGCTGGGGTGGTAGTGGGGGCTTTAACTCCTTCGGGAGATATTGACGAACCAAAGGTAATTCATCAATCAATATGTCCCATTCGCTACCAGGCATCTTCCACCCAGCGTCTGACTGCATCTGTTAATCCACGTGTATAAAGTGAATGTTTTAGACGTCTCAGAATTTCACTTTATACACGTGGCCTCTGACTGCACCTGTTAATGCTGCTCTCTCGCTTCGATTCCTCCCTGCACTACCTTCCCTCCCTTTTCCCCACCTCGCCTCCATGTGTCTATCCACCAACCCTCTCACCACACCTGTTAATCCTGCTCTCTCGCTTCCACTCTTCTCTCCCCTACCTTCCCGCCCCCTCCCCACCTCGCCTCCTCAGCTCCACCGTATCCTCACATGTGCGGCTCGCCACTCGCTGCAAGTCACCTACCTTCCTTCATCTCCCCCCCCTGCTCCCTCCCCTTCCCCATCTCGCCTCCTCAGCTCCACCGTATCCTCACATGTGCGGCTCGCCACTCGCTGCAGGTCACCTACCTTCCTTCATCTCCCCCACCTGCTCCCTCCCCTTCCCCACCTCGCCTCCTCAGCTCCACCGTATCCTCACATGTGCGGCTCGCCACTCGCTGCAAGTCACCTACCTTCCTTCATCTCCCCCCCCTGCTCCCTCCCCTTCCCCATCTCGCCTCCTCAGCTCCACCGTATCCTCACATGTGCGGCTCGCCACTCGCTGCAAGTCACCTACCTTCCTTCATCTCCCCCCCCTGCTCCCTCCCCTTCCCCATCTCGCCTCCTCAGCTCCACCGTATCCTCACATGTGCGGCTCGCCACTCGCTGCAAGTCACCTACCTTCCTTCATCTCCCCCACCTGCTCCCTCCCCTTCCCCACCTCGCCTCCTCAGCTCCACCGTATCCTCACATGTGCGGCTCGCCACTCGCTGCAAGTCACCTACCTTCCTTCATCTCCCCCCCCTGCTCCCTCCCCTTCCCCATCTCGCCTCCTCAGCTCCACCGTATCCTCACATGTGCGGCTCGCCACTCGCTGCAAGTCACCTACCTTCCTTCATCTCCCCCCCCTGCTCCCTCCCCTTCCCCATCTCGCCTCCTCAGCTCCACCGTATCCTCACATGTGCGGCTCGCCACTCGCTGCAAGTCACCTACCTTCCTTCATCTCCCCCACCTGCTCCCTCCCCTTCCCCATCTCGCCTCCTCAGCTCCACCGTATCCTCACATGTGCGGCTCGCCACTCGCTGCAAGTCACCTACCTTCCTTCATCTCCCCCCCCTGCTCCCTCCCCTTCCCCATCTCGCCTCCTCAGCTCCACCGTATCCTCACATGTGCGGCTCGCCACTCGCTGCAAGTCACCTACCTTCCTTCATCTCCCCCCCCTGCTCCCTCCCCTTCCCCATCTCGCCTCCTCAGCTCCACCGTATCCTCACATGTGCGGCTCGCCACTCGCTGCAAGTCACCTACCTTCCTTCATCTCCCCCCCCTGCTCCCTCCCCTTCCCCATCTCGCCTCCTCAGCTCCACCGTATCCTCACATGTGCGGCTCGCCACTCGCTGCAGGTCACCTACCTTCCTTCATCTCCCCCACCTGCTCCCTCCCCTTCCCCACCTCGCCTCCTCAGCTCCACCGTATCCTCACATGTGCGGCTCGCCACTCGCTGCAAGTCACCTACCTTCCTTCATCTCCCCCACCTGCTCCCTCCCCTTCCCCATCTCGCCTCCTCAGCTCCACCGTATCCTCACATGTGCGGCTCGCCACTCGCTGCAAGTCACCTACCTTCCTTCATCTCCCCCCCCTGCTCCCTCCCCTTCCCCATCTCGCCTCCTCAGCTTCACCGTATCCTCACATGTGCGGCTCGCCACTCGCTGCAAGTCACCTACCTTCCTTCATCTCCCCCCCCTGCTCCCTCCCCTTCCCCATCTCGCCTCCTCAGCTCCACCGTATCCTCACATGTGCGGCTCGCCACTCGCTGCAAGTCACCTACCTTCCTTCATCTCCCCCCCCTGCTCCCTCCCCTTCCCCATCTCGCCTCCTCAGCTCCACCGTATCCTCACATGTGCGGCTCGCCACTCGCTGCAAGTCACCTACCTTCCTTCATCTCCCCCCCCTGCTCCCTCCCCTTCCCCATCTCGCCTCCTCAGCTCCACCGTATCCTCACATGTGCGGCTCTCCACTTGCTGCAAGTCACCTTCCACCACGCCTTTCCTTCCCTCCCTTTCCCCATCACCCACTAACGTCTAATCACTCTCTTCATCCCTCCCTTCCCCATCTCGCCTCCTCAGCTCCACCGTATCCTCACATGTGCGGCTCTCCACTCGCTGCAAGTCACCTTTCACCACGCCTTTCCTTCCCTCCCTTTCCCCATCACCCACTAACCTCTAATCACTCTCTGCATCTCTCCCCTCCCCATCTCGCCTCCTCAGCTCCGCAGTATCCTCACATGTGCTGCCCGTCACTCGCTGCAAGTCACCTTCCGTCATCGCTCTCCCCTACATTCCCTCCCTTCCCCATCTGTTAATCCTGTCATCTTGACCACACCTGTTAATCCTGTCATCTTGACCACACATGTTAATCCTGTCATCTTGACCACACCTGTTAATCCTGTCACCTTGACCACGCCTGTTAATCCTGTCATCTTGACCACACCTGTTAATCCTGTCATCTTGACCACACCTGTTAATCCTGCCCTCTCGCTTCCACTTCTCTCCCCTACCTTCCCTCCCCTTCCCCACCTCTCCTCCTCAGCTCCACCGTTTTCTCGAGTGTGCGGCCCGTCACTCTCTGCAAGTCACCTTCCTTCATCTCCCGCCCCCCCCCTGCTCCCTCCCCTACCCCACCCACCTCTCTTCAGCTCCTCCGCTTCCTCGAGTGTGTGGCCCATCACTCGCTGCAAGTCACCTTCCATCGGGCCTTTGACCACACAAGAGACCCCATGGGTGCGCTGCAGGTGGGTTTTGAGTCAACCCACGTCAAGCAAGTCAATGCAAGTCAATGCAAGTCACTGCTGCAAGTCACCTTCCATCGTGCCTTGGACCACACGAGAGACCCCATGGGTGCGCTGCAGGTGGGTTTTGAGTCAACCCACGTCAAGCAAGTCAATGCAAGTCAATGCAAGTCAATGCAAGTCACTGCTGCAAGTCACCTTCCATCGTGCCTTGGACCACACGAGAGACCCCATGGGTGCGCTGCAGGTGGGTTTTGAGTCAACCCACGTCAAGCAAGTCAATGCAAGTCAATGCAAGTCAATGCAAGTCACTGCTGCAAGTCACCTTCCATCGTGCCTTGGACCACACGAGAGACCCCATGGGTGCGCTGCAGGTGAGTTGTTTCTCTTATCCGCCTCACAAGTTGTGTGAACAACCCGTTACTCACTGCCAGTCAATGCAAGTCAATGCAAGTCACTGCTGCGAGTCACCTTCCATCGTGCCTTTGACCACACAAGAGGCCCCATGGGTGCGCTGCTGGTGAGTTGTTTCTCTTATCCTCCTTATCCGTCGTGTGTGCTTTTTGGGGACCTGCAAATCTCCATTTACCGTTACATTCAGGCTTCTTCTTGAGATTTTCTATGAACCAACTTGTGTACGCGGTAGATGAATTCTTGCTCTTATCCGCCTCTCAAGAGCCGTGTGTGCAGCCCTTCCCTTCACTCTTATATTCATGTTCATTCACTCTTATATTCATGTTCATTCACTCTTATATTCATGTTCATTCACTCTTATATTCATGTTCATTCACTCTTATATTCATGTTCATTCACTCTTATATTCATGTTCATTCACTCTTATATTCATGTTCATTCACTCTTATATTCAGGTTCATTCACTCTTATATTCAGGTTCCTTCACTCTCATATTCAGGTTCCTTCTCTCTCTCATGGTGTGGAGAGGCTGCTGACGTCAGGGCAGCGGGCAGGCTTCAGCAGAGCAGGGAGTGTAGCTGATAAGGTTCTTCCTTATTGAACCATTGGCTCATTCTTCGTGTTCCTCAAACCAGGTTCTTATATCGGGTGGAGTGAAGAGGCTGCTGACGTCAGGGCAGTGGGCGACAGCAGAGGAGGGCGTGGGGCTGATAGTGAGGCTGGTGGTCTGCTGTAACCTTCTCTTCCCCGCGGCTTTGACTCATACCTGGTGTTCCTTATAAAACCAGGTTCCTATATCGAGTGGAGTGAAGAGGCTGCTGACGTCAGGGCAGTGGGCGACAGCAGAGGAGGGCGTGGGGCTGTTAGTGAGGCTGGTGGTCTGCTGTAACCTTCTCTTCCCCTCGGCTTTGACTCATACCTGGTGTTCCTTATAAAACCAGGTTCTTATATCGAGTGGCGTGACAAGACTGCTGACTTCAGGGCAGCGGGCGACAGCAGAGGAGGGCGTGCGGCTGATTGGGAGGCTGGTGGTGGAAGCACGAGGAAGGATCCAAATCATGGCTGGAGGTGAGGGAGCAGGAAGGTAGGGGTCAGGTAACGAGGTGGTTGCTTCTGAACAGTGTACAAGAGCAGGAGGTAGGGGGTCAGGTAACGAGGTGGTTGCTTCTGAACAGTGCACAAGAGCAGAGGAGGTTATTGGCCTGGTGAGGAGGCTGGTGGCGGAAGCACGAGGAAGGATCCAAATCATGGCTGGAGGTGAGTGAAGGAGGGGAGGCTGGTGGGGAGGGGAGAATAGACGAGGAAAGGAGTGGGGCTGGTGGGGAGGGGAGAATAGACGAGGCAAGGAGGGGAGGCTGGTGGGGAGGGGAGAAAAGACGAGGCAAGGAGTGGGGCTGGTGGGGAGGGGAGAATAGACGAGGCAAGGAGGGGAGGCTGGTGGGGAGGGGAGAAAAGACGAGGCAAGGAGTGGGGCTGGTGGGGAGGGGAGAATAGACGAGGCAAGGAGGGGAGGCTGGTGGGGAGGGGAGAAAAGACGAGGCAAGGAGTGGGGCTGGTGGGGAGGCTGGTGGCGGAAGCACGAGGAAGGATCCAAATCATGGCTGGAGGTGAGTGGCTGATTGGGAGGCTGGAGTGGAGAGAAGAGGAATATTAGACAAGATAAAGGGGTAGGTTACAAGAGGCTGGAGCTATGAGGGTGTAACATGACACATTCATGTGTTGGTGTGGTGCTCGCCCCGTTTTTTTTTTAGGCAATTCTCTGTTTATCCCGTCTCTGTTGTTTTCGTTCTGTTTCTAATGTTTCAGGTGGAGTAACCCCTGAGAATGCAGCAAGCATTGTCGCCCAATCAGGCGTATCACACATCCATGCCTCGGCACGATCGTTTGTACCGCAAACGGAGAAAATCCACTTCAATCACCTCTGCCCATTTCGTGCAACAAGGTCAGTACACCAACCAACTGTTACTGATATTTTTGTTTGTCACACCGTAAATGGTTTCCTCTTTGTGCAATTTATCTTCCCCCCCCCCCCCCCCCCCCCCCCCTTTGGTTGCAGTATGCCGTATGAAGGATGTGTCATGCAAACCAACGCTCAAAAGGTTTCTTCAATACTCCAGGCAATTCAACCTAAGGGCATGTAACATTGTAGCGACCGAGGCCAAAATCCGACCATTTGGTGGGGTCAAGCGAATGCGAAGAGGGTAACACGATGGCGAGGGATGCGATATTTTCTGAGAAAATGACCGCATAAACGACCAAGTCGGGATCGCCCCAGGTTAAAAACCATACGTGCGACCAAATTGGGCAGGAAAACAACCCTGCCGTTAACAGCAGAGTGTCGCAACATGTTTGGTCACCTTTCGTGATGTGCACGACTGGTTTCGCACCTGAACCTGGTGACTCCCCATAGGGTAGCGAATAATTTCCAGGAACAACCCGAAACCGCGAAACTGTAAATCGACCACCACAACAACCATGGTCGTTGCGAATTTACAACAGACGCCCCAGGTGTTTGTTACCACAACCCTCGCAAGTCGGTTACAATGACCAAATGGTCGGATTCTGGCCTCGGTCGCCCTGAGTTAGTTTCAAAAGCGATTGGAATAGGGCATGGATATGCAAGCTTTAGTTTCTACTTTTCATTATATTTGATACCTCGGCTTGTACATTCTTCTGAGGACTCCTTGTTATGAGTGTTTGAAGCTGTATATCCCGCCAAAATCAGGTCACGACGTGGACTTCCACCAACCACCACCACCGTTTAATTGCCAGGTCGTTGTTCAGACAGAATCTCTAGTCTGGTGTGATTCAACGGTCTTCTGATCGTTTTTCAGGGTTCAATTGTCTTAGGAAATGTGCCCTTTTTCGGGTCAGGTTCATAGAAGATGTAGCAGGTAGAAAGCCAGTCTTCTTATCGTTTTCAGGGTTCTATCTGCTTGGGAAATGGGCCTTTTTCAGGTCAGGTTCGTAAAAGATGCAGCAGGTCGAAAGCCAGATGTGTGGGTGCGAGAATGAGGAAGGAACCTCAGGTCACGACGGGCAACATGCAACCAAGGGTGTCCCACCTTTGTGCCCCTGTTACTCCACACTTTTCTTTGAACTGAGAGTCGCTGGTGAAATTCTACCCTAACTTTTGTGAGTTCTCGTAGGCCCACTGGATTAGTTTCTTCAGCATTACTGTACTTTGAGCGACAGGTTTTTTTGTTTGTTTTTTTCTTTTTTTTCTCGGCGTGGTGGCTTGTGCCTCCCGCAATTCGCTGCTCCTGCAAATCATCCACATGATTGCTGTCGTGCCGCGCTGCTGTGCTGGCTCGACAATACGCCAAAATTTTGGATGAATATCCGAACCTGAAGGGGAGCTCCGGAGCATCCTAAATCGAGGCCAGATTCCCGAATTGCTTCCGCAATCATCGCGCGCCGCGGCGCCATGCCTGAAATCGGTGCGTGTGCACCAAGCCAAAATCGGCAACTAGCACAAACAAACCCGACCAGACCACGCGAGACGATTTCGCCAGGTCTGAGTGGGCGCGACGCCTAGAGAGCCACCCGCGAAACCAGTTCCGCACCCCCAAAAGCTTTGCTGTTCCTTGCGGCGCGGAAGGTTTGGCTGCCTGCCAGCTTTGCCACCCCCAGGGCTACCTTCCTGCGTCACCACCACGTCAGTCCCGCGCGGAACTGCGCAGTCCTGGCGGCTCTCCCAGCTCAGCGCCAACGCGGAATGCTAGAAATACAGTAGCCGCCCGTGCCACACCCCAAGCAGTCACATCACCTTCCAAGCCTGGAAACAGAACACTGAACCTCTTCACCGCTCAGAATCGCTCTGAAACGCAGGATACTTGAGTAACAATTTCTTTCTCACGATCACCTTCACCACACCGGAGAGCGCAATCCTCCATAGCTGCTCCGATTTTTGCTCACGCCATCACATACTGTACAGCTTACAGACGCACGAGCAGTCACCGCGTTTTCAGCGAGTCGCTGGTTTACAGCAACGTGCACATCAATCAACATCATCCTCGGCTGTTGCTGCATCACGCCTAGTCAAATTACGCAGAGATGGAATCATGTCGAGCTTACGGCAAGCCGTTTTGCAACGCGATGCCAGGATTATTGCAGATGTGTGAGAGCTGAAAGAACGAAAGCGACAGACTAATTGTCCAACCGTGACGAAGGAGCTAGACCAACGTATCGGCTTCAGCAAGGGTCGGACCGCAGAAAGTTTTTCCTATTGAAATTCCTCTAAAACACACGCAGAAGCAGCTGGGTCCGAGTAACGTAGAAGAAGTATCGATAGACTCGAGAGGGGCAGACCATCCGAGATCCCCCCAACGTACTCGGCTACACGTCGCCCTCTCTCTCGCTCTCTTCCCCGTCCGTAGTCTTCCACTCTCCTAGAATCTACTCCCGACGCTTTTTTCTTCTGCGAGTTCTTCCCACCGCCCGATTATATCACAACTGGTTTCTACACAACTGCTTTCCACTTGACAGCTGGTTCGTGCAATGTTCGACGTGGGCCTTCGCGGCAAAAGCGGGCGAGCATCCCCTTCGCCATCCTCTGGCGATTATGGAAGCCGCGGCTCTGAAAGCAGCAGCGATGTGATTGGCGGCCGCTACCGGCGCTTGCGGGTGATCGGCCATGGCTCGCATGGCAGCGTGTGGGAGTGCGAGGACGTCCGCACGTCCGTCCGCGTCGCGTGCAAATCCATTCCACACCATCGGCGTCCCGCCGCCGGCGGCGCCGCAGTTCCCGCCGGTGTTCCCGCCGCGAGAGGCGGCGCATCGGGCGCGCGGCACGCTCCACCGCAGGAGCAGTTTCAGGAAGTCTGTACCGAGGTATCCGCGTTAAAGACGGTCGGCGGACATCCGAACGTGGTGCGGCTCGTCGACGTAATAGTGGGCTCCGCCGAGGCGCACCTCGTTATGGAGCTCGCGTCGGGTGGGGATCTCCTAACGGAGCTCATGCACCGCGGTCCGTTGGACGCGCCGCTGGCTGCTACAGTGTTCCGGCAGCTCGCCTCGGCTGTCGCGTTCTGCCACGCGTGCGGCGTCATGCATCGCGACATCAAACCAGACAACGTGCTGCTCGTGCGCCCTCCGCCGCCGCCACCGGCGGCGCCGTCCGGGCGGACGCCGCAGGGGGTGACGTCAGCGGCGGAAGAATGTGAAGCGCCGGTGGGGGAAATGCGAGCGGAATTGCGCGAGGGAATGGCGCGCGGGAGGTTCTCGGGGGAGAGGGGGGAGAGGGGAGAGAAGGTGTTTGGGGAGAGCGGGAGGTTCGGAGAGGAGTGCGGGAGGTTCGGAAGGGAAAGCGGGAGGTTCGGAGGGGAGAGGGTGTTGGGAGAGGGGTTTAAGAGGCGCGTGCCGGGAAATGCGGTGCGGGCTTTCGCCGTCCGAACCAACCAGGCTGTGACGAGCGACGGCAACGGCTGTAGCAGCGGCAGTGGCGGAAGCAGTAACGGTTGTAGCAGCAGCAGCGGTTGTGGCAGCAGCAACTGGGAAAGAAGCAGCAGCAGCGGTTCTAGCAGCGGTGGTGAGACGTGCGCTTTTCCTGACAGCGGTTCGGCTGTATCCGCACACAGCAGTCCTTCGCGTGACGGTCAAAAAGGCTCCTTAGATCGAAGGGACGTTATATCGGAGCCCTCCTCTCCCATTCGCTGCAGACGATCGCCGTCTCCTCCCAACGCGCAGCGAGCAAACCGTCGATGCAGCAGCGGGGTAAACATCGCAACTACCCTTGAAAATACGAGTGATAATGTGGGCATTTGCACAAGCAGCAGCAGCAGCAGCAGCAGCAGCAGCAGCGGCCAAGTGGATGCACCTAAATTACAAGCCCATGGTCTCTCGAATCGCGCCCCAACCCACCATCCTGGAGCGGACAGGCAGATTCTAGGGGTCAAGATTGCCGATTTTGGGGTAGCGGCTCTTATGCAGGGAGGGATGTCCGCCCAACGGCAAGACATGGGGGCCGGCACGCGCGTATACATGGCGCCCGAAATCACCAGAGTGTCTGAAATCATGAGACGGGAAAGCACGAGACCGGAACTCGTGGCAGCGGCAGGAGCTGAAACGGGGAAGTATGGCTTTAAGGCGGACGTTTGGAGCATGGGTATGACTCTCTGCACGATGCTGACTGCGCGAATCCCGACTGTTCCTTTGGATTTCGAGCATCCGGCGTGGGGAGGGGTGCCGGCGGAGGCGATGGATTTGGTCCGTCGGATGCTGGTGGTGGACCCAGATCAACGGCTGAGCTCGTTCGAGGTGCTGGAGCATCCGTGGCTGAACCAGACGGCCGTTCGATCGTTGGACCCGGCCGTGCGCTGCCCCCACCTGCTCTCGCCCTCCCTGCCTGGCGAACCCACTGGTAACCAGGTTACACGGATCGTCTGTGCGTAGCTTCTGTAGCAGGGAGAGCAGTTAACCGTTGCAGATGTAGCAGGGAGAGCAGTTAACCGTTGCAGATGTAGCAGGGACAGCAGTAAAGGCTGTAGCAGGGAGAGAATGTAACCAGGTCAAACGACTGTAGCAGGGCAGAAGCTGAGGCTGCAGCAAGGGCAGCACCAAAAGGTTGTAGCAGGGGCATAAGCGAAAGACTGCAGCAAGAGCAGGAGAGAAAGCTAACAGCAGGGGAGTACCAGCTATATTCTGTGGCAGGACCAGCAGTCTCGCAGCGATCCAAACGCAACCGCACCAAGCCATTCCGAGCCAAACCGAGCCATGCCTATCGATTTCTGGGAGGCCGTTTGCTACAATTGGATTGGAGTAGCAAAAATGTTTGCCTCCTGGAGGGTCTGCCAGTGTAACAGTTTTGGTCCAGGTGTGCTGCCTTGCAGCTGTTTGAGTGCGATGGTGGGTTTAGAGCTCTAGCTGTATTGGAGGCGTTGCAGGTGTGCTACAGTTTTGATTCAGGCGTGCTGCCTTGCAGCTGTTTGAGTGAGATGGTGGCTTTAGAGATCTAACTGTACCGTATGAGTTTGTATTGTACTGAGTTATACTGCAGTGGACTTCTGTACTGTACGCTGTGGCACAAAGGTTTCCAGTAAACCACGGTAATTTACAGTTTGACTATATGCCTCTGAATCAGAGGCTCTGATACAAGAAAGATGCCAAAAACTAAACAGCAATATCACCAAGCTATTCAGTGCCAAAAAAACCCTTACACCGGTAAGAAGCTTCTCGTTATTAGAGCGAGGAGGAGGGTGGGGAAGGGATGTAGACCAAACCGCAACCCGGGTTTGGGTTTGCTGCACATCACCCACCCACCCACCATCTCCTTGTTCTGGTTATTTGTCCAGTCCAGTGGACATTCAACTCATGTATTGTTGACCTCAGCTCCTGCTACCGTACATCCTCTCGCTGTCCGCCTTCCTGCAGTCTCTGCTTCTGCCCTGCAACACCTACACCAACCCGCAACCCGAATTAGGGTTTGCTGCACACCACCCATACACCGCCTCCTTGTTCCTGTTATTTGTCCAGTGGACGTTCAGTTGTCAATGCACGTACTGTTGACACTCATAGCCTGTCTTGCTGATGCTTAAAGCCCTTCTGCTCCAGCTTCTTCTGTTGCATCTGCTCCCTTTCACTGTTGCCCCAGGCTCAGCCTTTAGGGTGCTACTACCACAGAGTTTCACTGTTGCCCCTGCTACAGCAATTCCTGCTGCCCCAGCTACAGCCTTTGCTGCTGCTCCTGCTACAGCCTCCGCTGCTGCAATCTTTAGCTACTGTCCCTGCCACAACATTTCTGCTAGCTTCGCTGCTTCCCCTGCTACAGCTGCTACAAGCAGACGATCCGTGTAACCTGGTTACCAGTGGGTTCGCCAGGCAGGGAGGGCGAGAGCAGGTGGGGGCAGCGCACGGCCGGGTCCAACGATCGAACGGCCGTTTGGTTCAGCCACGGATGCTCCAGCACCTCGAACGAGCTCAGCCGTTGATCCGGGTCCACCACCAGCATCCGACGGACCAGATCCTTTGCGTCTGCTGAAACCCCCTCCCATTCCGGTTTTGAGAAGTCTACAGGATGGGAAGGAATCCGGGCAGTCAAAATTGTGCACAGGGTAACCCCAAGGCTCCACACGTCCGCCTTCACACCGTACTCGGGCAAATCCGAAGAACTAGGGTTATGTACCTTACGCCCCGTGTTCTCTTGCTCCCCCATCTCCGCCCCTGCTTCTCCGCGCCCGGCCCCCCGCTTACGCCAGCCCATTTCCGGCGCCATATACGCGGGCGTCCCCGCGCCCCTACTGCGGCGGAGCTCGCGCATCCCCCCCTTCAGTATCGCGGAAACCCCAAAATCCGCGAGTTTCACCCCCACAATATGCCGCTCCGCGCCCACGTAATCTTCCCCCAACGGTGAGCTTCCGCCATGGCTTGCGCTACGGTTCGCGCCAAAGCTTCCGCCAAGGCGTGCGCCATCGCTTCCCCCGCGCGCGGAAGTACCGCCTAGCGCGGAACCGCAAGAGGGGCCTGCGGATTTGTAGGGTCGCGGGCTCTTGTTGCGCAAGGGGGAGGCGGGAGTGCAAGGGGAGGCGGGCGGGGAAGGTGGGCCACCCGCGGCGTTCGAGATTGGGGGAGCAGGAGAGGAGGGGGACGCGGGAAAATCGGCGGAGGACGGAGAGGCAGCAGAGCGTAGGTTGAATCTAGTGGGGGAAGAGGGGAGCGATGTTGCGCCAGATTTGGCGGATGGGGAAGCAGGCGCGGCGGAAGCATCCTTTCCGCGCGACGGCAGCGCGCCCGTGCTCTGGCAGTTTGTCAAGCCGAAGACGTTGGTTCGGTTTTGGAGAACCCTAACCGCGTGCCCTGGTGGGTGATTGTGATGGTGGTGATGGCTCCCGCAGGCGGCGGCGCCGCTGCTGCTACTGCCGCTGCTGCTTTTGCTGCTGTGATCCCAAGCCGCTGCGAGCGCGACTGCCGCCGGCGGCGTCCGCGCGGGCGGCGGCGGCGGCGGCGGGCGCACGAGCAAGACGTTGTCGGGTTTGATGTCGCGATGCATGATGCCGCACGCGTGGCAGAACGCGACAGCCGATGCGAGCTGCCGCAGAACAGTAGCAGCCAGCGGCTCGCTCAACGCACCGCGCCGCATGAGCTCCGTTAGGAGATCCCCGCCTGGTGCTAACTCCATAATCACGTGCGCCTCGGCGGAATCCACAATAACCTCGATCAAACCGACGATATTAATATGACCGCCGACCTTCTTTAAAGCGCAAACCTCCGTGCATATATCATCTACGCGCACCGGAGCTTGCTGCGCGTGTGATGAATCGCGCGGCAGGTGCGGGATGGATTTGCACGCGACGCGGAGGGACGTTCGGATGTCTTCGCACTCCCACACCGTGCCGTGCGATCCGCGCCCAATCAGCCGCAGTCTGCGGTAGCGCCCGCCGATTAAGTCGCGAAGGAAGGATTCGGATGAGAGCTTAGGCCCTACCATGATTAGAACTAGAAATCGTGTAAATTGAGATTCGGGAAACCGAGAAAGCTATTGACTAAGAGCCGCTGCAGAATAAACCAGGAAAGATGGCTTCAAAAAATAGAATTCTGGTTTTAGAAGCCGCAAAGGAGAGAAGGACGAGTCATAGTGCGGTGGAGTCTCTAGAGACGCAATAATATAGCTAAGTTGAGGCGCGAACGATATTATTCTGGAGATTCCGTGGACGTTCCGGTTTTCTGGGTCTGAACGAATCGAAGCTACTATGCATTATTGACTGAACGCAATCAGTCTAGTTTCTCGGTGATTTGTCTTGGCTGGACACACCGACTGCACTGATGCCACTTTACACACCCCCAGCAGCTGTCAGACCCAGCTGTCAAATCTGGGCTGACGCTGTGTGTGTGGAGGTGTGGGCCAGGTTTTCCACGTTTTACAGCGTTTCAATTAGTTTAAAATGGTTTACGAAGGGTGAAAACGACGCCACACCCCCAGGTGTCAACCTGGCCTGGCAGGGAACTTGCTTCGGCAAGGTGACAGGCAGTATCGGTTTGACTAGCAGCAAGCATGTCGGTTTGACTAGCACCAAGCAGCACGACTCTCCCGACGCGGGGAATCGCCACTCGCGAATCCCGACGAACAGCCAACACTGTTGCCAGCAACAACCAAGGAAATAGGTTTGGGAAAACAAGGTACAAAATTGTTCAGTACGATATATAGTGGTTATAGACGATACGAAGGAGCGGCACTTAGAAAAGCTGTACGACCATACCAATTTCCGAGAGAAGGAACGGAAGAAAGAGCAGCGATTCGCGAGATGTGCCTTGCCGATGTGCTTGCTGTTCGTCTTGATTCTCCCACTTTCACTGCCCATCTACAGTAGAACCAAACCCATCGAACGAATCGAACAGCCAATCAGTCAGCGGGTAACAAGCCTGGGGTATGGGCCTGGCCGGGCTGCGATAGGTTGACTCGAACGAAACGAAACCGCACGGCTGGCATCATGCGCCGAGCCTACATCGTAATTGGTGTGTAACCGACAGCAGCCAGCATGGTGGTTTGGTAAGGGGAGCCAAAGCAGTGGTTTGGAAGTCTCACTAGTTTCTAATCGGTTTATAACGTACATGTAGAGTTTCTTCGGGTATCATCTAGGTGAGGACCTCGTCCACACCTACATCAGTTCCGTCAAAACCAAATCAACGACGTTGGGCGAGGTTCGGATGGACGAATCTCGTTGACCGAAATGACAATTTGGTGGATTTCATTGGGGCGGTGGCGGCTGTCAAAACTGGTTGGGTGGTGTGGTGTGGTGCCGTTGTGCCTGGTTAGTGCACATGCCAGCGTGGCGAACCCGTTATCGGCTGCCAACAGCTGGCGGCTGTTTTTTACGGAGGACACTGTATGGCAATCACGTTCCGTCAATATTGCCAGAAATCCGCAGTTTCGTGTTGGCTCCCAGGTTCACGGTGTGTGACGGTGTGTGACTGCTGGGCTGGACGCCAACAGGTTGCCCGACTATGCATGTGATGGGGCCGCCAGATATGGACGCCGTCGCCGAGCTGGCGGTGGCACTGAGCCAAATTGACGAAATGACATCAGGGTGCCACGTGTAGGTTGGATGTTGCAAGGTTCGTATTGAGTACACCAGGGTTCAAGTGTTATGTTGCAACACATAGAGTTGCTTAGGAAACTAGTCAGAGTGTAGCACAAACATTGGTGACATAAGGAGATTCAGCATCTCATGCAAACTTCTGATACGAAAATGGGGTCTGATTTCTTCTGGCATCGTATCAACGTTGGGGAACTTGCCACCCTCGTCAAGAAAAAATGTGATAGCACCTGCTCTCTTTCCACACACCACCTGCATAAGTCCAACGATAATATTGGTGAGCAGGGAGCAATGTTAAGGAGCATATCCAAATGAGCACAACAAGAACAAGCATAAACCACACGCATGCAACACCACAGGAATTTGACTTCTTACATCGTCTTTTGCAGAGTCTCCAACCATAATCACCTCCGAAGGATGTACACCCCATTGTTCACATATATGCAACAATGGGGCGGCATGCGGCTTATATGGTTGGAATTCACGGCTGAGAGCAGGTGAAAAAGGGGGGACCTGATGAAAGTGTCGCAAGGAAGAAATCAAGCAAATGCAGCAATTAAGACCTTGCATAAGTAAAGAGGCAGTATGCAGCATGTGGTGCCCTGGTGAAACATCACGACAAATGGCTTCAGCTGGGGAAGCAAATAAGAGGAGGGAGCGTGGATGCATGAGCTAAGTAGGAACAAGAGGTTATGTATACCATACGTTTCTATCACCGTACAACAACACAAACCATTTACACACCCATGTCCCACAACCCAAGGCTCACCTCAAAGCTGCTGTGGAAATGGTCCACAGAATCCTTCACATTTCTCGTTATAAGCCCCCGCTTAATATTCCGAGCATCAAGAAAGCCAATGAGCTCGTGGGCCCCTGAAAATAAGGATCACACATATCGGGTAGGGGGGGTTTCTGGTGCAAGCCGTGACATGACTTGTGGAAACACGAGTCTTTTCTGGCCAATATGACTTGCAACTTCACAAAAGGCTATAAGTTACAAAGGGAAGGTCCTGAAAGCAGGTGGTTGGAGGAACAGGCAAAGAGGGCAATTGAGTCGACTCTAAACCCATCCTAGTGGGCTCAACGCATGGGTCAACATATGAGAGCGCGACAGGGCCAATGCAGGGTCAAGTCAAGAGTCAAAACATGGGTCAACTTATGGGTCAATTTATGGTCAACTCATAAGTCATGGTCAACTCATGAGTCATGGTCAACTCATAAGTCATGGTACACTCATGATTCATGGTCAACTCATCAGTCATGGTCAACTCCTGAGTCATGGTCAACTCATGAGTCATGGTCAACTAATCAGTCATGGTCAACTCATGACTCATGGTCAACTAATGAGTCATGGTCAACTCATGAGTCATGGTCAACTCATGAGTCATCATGGTCAACTCATGAGTCACTTCATGGGTCATAGTAGGGGCCAATGCACGGGTTCTTACACCACATTCACCAATCACTCACCTGGCATGATTTGCAGCCGTCCATTCACCAATCACCCACCTGGCATGATTTGCAGCCGTCAATTCACAAGCCACCCACCTGGCATGATCTGCAGCCGTCCATTCACAAGCCACCCACCTGGCATAATCTGCAGCCGTCGCTTCGCCTCCTCCTCCATCTCCCCAATCACGCAATACGCCTCGACTCGTCTCGGCTCATCCCAGCCGTCGATCTCATGCAAAATATCCGGGCTCGTGGCGCCCACGCGCCGGCGCATCTCGGCAAAATCTATGCACGGCACCGTCAGGGTTCCGTCCATATCGAAAACGACACCGCGAAGCGTGAAAGGAACAGTGCCTCCGATACCATTTACTAATAAAGACCTAGCAGCAGTACTCATCGTGGCGCTAGTATCAGTGCGGCCCGCAATACAAGCGCCGTTGGCGGTAATAGGAGCGGTGTCGGTACTAGGCCCGTCCAGAGCTTCCGCCTCCGCCACCATATCCGCGGGGTTGGCATGCGCGGAAGAATGCGCGTGGGCGGAAGATCGCCCAGGGAATTGCGCAGATGTGGCGGAAGACTGGGACGCCAGAAGACGGGATTCGTAGAGTCGGTTAGGGCGAGATCGGTGGAATGCGGTGGGGATGGGGAAAGGAAGTGTGCGGAGGCGAGAGACGCCGTGATGTACGGAAAGGATTCGCATGATTGCGGACGAGGCATGACCCTCAGGCAATAAGTGAGCAGGCAAAGTCAAACATTTCCCAATTATTATGTAGAGTTCATCATCAACCTGCTATAGCTCAGTTGGTAGAGCGGAGGACTGTAGTTGAGCAATCCTTAGGTCACTGGTTCGAATCCGGTTGGCGGGACGTCAATATCTGTTTTGTCCCAGGCCCGTTTCACAAGGACCCAGTTTCTGTTCAGCTCTATTTGTGATGTTTATCTACCATCGCCTTACTCTCATTGTAGGTACTTCCAATGAAACTTCTTTTCCTTCTTGGGGCTGTGATTGGGTTCGCCAACTCAGGTACCACACAGAGCAGGTTTTTTTTAGATCCCTTTTCAATGACAAGCAGCAAGTTGCACAAAGTGAGAATGGACATAACATAAAAACGTCGTGTAATCCAGGGACTGCAAAACCAGTCTTCACCCTCCTTCCAATCAGCAAAAACAAACAAACAAATCAAGGGACAACAGAATTGTCGCTTCACCTACCCTAGATATAAATTAGACTGTTTTGTTAGGATATATCCTAGCAGGTTATAAATTGGAGGCATGTACACTGCTGCTGCCTTGGATGAGGCAGCTGCAACCGCCTTCTTGATACCTTCACACATTCCTGCTCCTCCTGCTACCACTCTTGATCCCCCCCTTCAGCAGCAATGATATTTATTTAGTCTGGCGCCATTTTCCCATGCCTGCTGCTTGTTTTCCAAGGTCTGCTTGTCTTCCCGATTAGCCATTAACTTAAACAGCTCCCCGTACTGCTGCTCCTGAGGTGCCCCAAGAGCTGCTAGACTATCACCTTCTGATGCTCCCACTGCTGCTGCTCCCACTCTTCGTTCCCGACAGCAGCAGTGAAGACATCTCATGATCCGATTCCCCACGATCCCCCCCTCCTGCTCTGCTGCTTCCGAGGCACCTCAACAGAAGCCAGCCTATCACCTCCCACTGCTGCTGCTGCTCCCTGTCTTCGTTCCCAGCACCAGCAGCGACGACATCTCGTGATCCGACTCCCCCCGGTGCCCCCTCGGGTTCACAATTGCGCTCTTAATCGACTTGGCAAACCCTTCAATTGACGCCCAAGCCGACGCCGGCGCCGAAATCCCCGAAATCCCCGTCACCTGCCGCTCCTCCCGCATCACAGCTGAACCATGCTCGTGCCCCCCGCCGTCCACCCTCACATTCGGAGGGTGCAGATGCGTAACACCCTGCCCGAACGTGGGCGCAGCGGCGGAATACCCCTCGACAAGCAGCCCGGTCTCCTCGTCCTCCCCGGCCTTCCCTCCCACTCCGTCCCCTTCGATACACACCCCAACGGAGGGTAGATTTTCCTCCATTCTTTCCAAAACCTCGCGCATGGACGGGCGGCAAGCGGCGTTTTCTTGGATGCAATCTCGGGCCAAGCCGCCCAGCTCTATGAGCTCTTCCTGCCGATAATTTCCGCCCAGGTAGGGGTCCACCATGAGAGGCATCATCTGCGGGTCCTCCAGGAAGGGGGCAGCCTGACGAGGGAAAGAGGTGTGATGGGAAAAGGGAGGGGAGCGAAGGGAATCAGCATTGGAATAAACAGAGCCCAAACCTCAAACAATAAGACCCGGATCCTTGAAACCTGAACCCAGAACCCTCAACCCTAGGCAGCGCCAAGCCGCCCAGTTCTATGAGCTCTTCCTGCCGATAATTGCCGCCCATGTAGGGATCCACCATGAGAGGCATCATCTGCGGGTCCTCCAGGAAGGGAGCAGCCTGATGAGGGAAGGGAGTTGTGGTGGAGAGAGAGAGTAGTGTGTGGGGGGGGGGAGAGGGAGGGGTGAGCCCCTTGATCCAAGCACTAGGCACTGAGCGCCCAGGTAGGGATCATCTCGACAATGAAAGGGGCAGCATCCCTAAACCCTAAACGTCTTCCAGGAAAGGGACAGCCTGGAGAATAGAAAAATGATGGGAGGGGGGACGAGGGTGTAGTGAAGGAGGGAGGGAGCGAGGGAAGGAGGTGTGAGTACTAGGCACTGAGCGCCCAGGTTGACTTTTGAGTCAACTCAAAAGTCAACTAGGAAGGGGGCGGCCTGATGGGAGGGGAGAGAGGGAGAGAGTAGCAACGGGGGGAGTGAGGGAAGGAGGTGTGAGTACTAGGCACTGAGCGCCCAGGTTGAGGTGCACCACGAGAGGCATCATCTGAGGGACTCCTAGGAAGGGAGCAGCCTGATTGGGTGGTGGGGAAGCAGGGATGGTGGTGGGGAGGGGACACATTGAGCGCACTAGGCACCGAGCACTCAGACTGGTATGCACCATGTGAGAGGCATCATCTGCGGGTCTTCCAGGAAAGGGGCAGCCTGATAGGAGGGAAGGGAGAGAGTAGTGAGGGAGGGAGGGAGTGAGAACCTTAATCTTAGATAGGCATGAACCATGAGAGGCATCATCTGCGGGTCTTCCAGGAAAGGGGCAGCCTGATAGGAGGGAAGGGAGAGAGTAGTGAGGGAGGGAGGGAGTGAACCATGTGAGAGGCATCATCTGCGGGTCTTCCAGGAAAGGGGCAGCCTGCAGGAAAGAGGGATTTCTGGTGTGGAAAGGTTGGGGAGGAAAGGGGGGGTGCGGTGGGGACACTGAGCACACTAAGCACTGAGCGCCCAGGTTGGGATCCACCATGAGAGGTATCATCTGAGGGCGACAGCACACTCCACCGCATTCCACTGCACACCACCGTTTTCTACCAGGAATTTACAGCGATCAACCACACAGCACCCTTTCTCACCATGGTGGTAATGTGAACCTCCTTCATGGCCTTTTGTCCCGTGATCAACTCCAGCAGCACCACTCCGAACCCATACACATCCGCTTTCTCCATCTGGGGCGACGGTGACTGCACACTCTACCGCATTCCACCACACTCCACTGCTTTTTACCAGGATTTTACCATGTTCAACCGCACTGCACCCTCTCTCACCATGGTGGTAATGTGAACCTCCTTCATGGCCTTCTGCCCTGTAATTAGCTCCAGCAGCACCACTCCGAACCCATACACATCCGCTTTCTCCATCTGGGGCGAGGGCGACTGCACGTCGGCCACCTGCTTGTGCTTGCGGCTCTTCTTGCGCCGCGGAGTGTCGTCAAACGCGGTCTTCCCCCCGCTGCTGCCCTTGGCAATGCCGAAATCGCTCAGCTGAGGGGGAAATAGAAGGGTAGAGAGGGGTGGAGGGCGGTAAGAGAGGTGGAAAGGGGCGTGTCGTCAAATGCGCTCTTGCCGTCGCTGCTGCCCTTGGCAATGCCAAAGTCGCTCAGCTGGGAACAGGGCGGAAGGAGGAAGAAGGAAGCCACACAACACAGCAGGAGGGAAGGGAAGGGGAGGAGTGGGATCGAGAGAGTGACGAGCCGCAATCTCCACTGCTCATGAAGTGACGCGCTCCACTGCTCGTGGTGGTGGAGGTACCACTTCAGAGAACCCCCAGAAGAGAATGTATCATACTTCAAGCTGACTTGGCACCAAGGGCAGCGGCTCACCTTGGCAGTCATGTCAGCCGCCAGGAGAATGTTGGACGAGGTCACAGCTCGGTGCACCAGCGGGGGAGTGAGGTCGTGGTGCAGATGCTACTCTCGACAGTGACACATGGTGTGTGGTATGAGGCTCAAACCTTGACCACGGCTCACCTTGGCAGTCATGTCGGCAGCCAGGAGAATGTTGGACGAGGTCACAGCTCGGTGCACCAGCGGGGGAGTGAGGTCGTGGTGCAGATGCTACTCTCGACAGTGACACATGGTGTGTGGTATGAGGCTCAAACCTTGACCACGGCTCACCTTGGCAGTCATGTCGGCAGCCAGGAGAATGTTGGACGAGGTCACAGCTCGGTGCACCAGCGGGGGAGTGAGGTCGTGGTGCAGATGCTCCAGGGCACTCGCAACGTGATAGGCCACTCGCACACGCGTCTCCCAGGCGAGGGGCTCTAGTTCGGGGCCTGTGCGCCAGGAGGACAGGAAATCAAGGGGGAAGAAGGGAGGGAATGAGCGAGGTCGTGATGCAGATGCTCTAGCGCGCTCGCAACGTGATACGCCACTCGCACATGCGTTTCCCAGGCCAAAGGCTCTAACTCGGGACCTGTGTGTTCCATGGGGACAGAGAAGCAAGACCGGGAAGGCGGGGAGAGGAGAAGGGGAAGGAATATGTGAGGTCATGGCGCAGATGCTCCAGGGCGCTGGCAACGTGACAGGCCACCCACACTCGTGTCTCCCAAGCAAGAGGTTCCAGCTACCTGTCCTCCAGGGGCGGAATGAGGAATGGGACACGTGGGCAAGGGGAGGAAAGCAGGGGAGGGAATGAGGGGGTGAGGTCGTGATGTAGATGCTCCAGTTCCAGGGCACAGGCAACGTGGTATGCGATCCACACTCCTGTCTCCCAAGCAAGAGGTTCCAGCTCGGAAGAGCAAGAGAGGGGGGAGGGCAGAGGAGCAAGAGAGAGAAGGGGGAACGAGAGTAAAGCACGAGGAATGAAGGTGCGCACAAATGAAGCATCGGGTTTTTGAATTATGAATCCTCATGTATACATACTGTATATATTTGTAGTGGTTGAAAAACTCATGGCGGAGGCGGTCAAAGAGAGTGCCGTTAAGGAGGAACTCATAAACGAGGATACGCTTTAATCATGCTAAACACTCACGGTGCAGGCGGTGGGTAAACACTCACGGTGCAGTCGGTCGAAGAGAGTGCCGTTGGGGAGGAACTCATAAACGAGGATGCGCTCCCCCTGATTGACGCAGTAGCCGTGCAGATTCACCACATAGCGGTGGCGTGCCTTGGCTAGAATCTCCACCTTGCACTTGAACAGGAACTCGCTGACCTCTGTTGAATGGGTGGAGGAAGGGAAAGAGAGAGACAGCGGGTGGTGAAGAGGGGTGGAGAGGGGTGAAGAGGGGTTAGAGGATGCGCTCCCCCTGGTTGACGCAGTAGCCATGCAGGTTCACCACGTAGCGGTGGCGTGCCTTGGCTAGGATCTCCACCTTGCACTTGAACAGGAACTCGCAGACCTCTGGTGTTAAGAAAGGGTGGAGAGGGTTGGAGGGGAGTGGAGAGGGCGGAGGATGCGGGGAGTTTTAGGGTGGCGTGCCTTAACCAGGATCTCCAGTTTGCACTTGAAGAGAAACTCGCTGACCTCTGTTTGAGGGGTGTGGAGAGGGGTGGCGAGGGGTGGTGGGGGGTGGTGAGGGGTGGAGGGGGGTGGAGAGGGGTTAACAGAGGCCCACACAGATTCACCACGTAGCGATGGCGTGCCTTGGCTAGAATCTCCACTTGGCACTTGAACAGGAACTCGCTGACCTCTGGAGGGATGGGCTGCACACTTCACTCACTCTGCGGGTCGTGGGCTCTCTTGACGATGTCTCACAGCACTGGACCACATCCAGACGAGGGGATGTGCACACTTGCGCTCGTCTCTCACACACCTCTGCCTCTGCCTCTGCCTCTGCACACTGTACTCACTCTGCGGGTCATGAGCTCGCTTGATGATGGCTCTCGGCTCCGGCTGCCCTTTGAAGAACTCGTCCGTCAGAAACACCACCCCACTAGCTGCCAGCACCCGGTCTTACTGTGTGCCCAAACACAACAGAAAAGAGCTGCGCGCACACTTCACTCACTCTGTGGGTCGTGGGCACTCTTGATGATGGCTCGCCGCTCCGGCTGCCCTTTGAAAAACTCCCCTGTGTTGGCTAGCACATGCCCCTTGTCACTCACTCTGCGGGTCGTGAGCTCTCTTAATGATGGCTCTTGGCTCCGCCTGCCCTTTGAAGAACTCGTCCGCCAGAAACACCACTCCGAAGCTGCCACCCAGAATCATACTGCGAGTCCGGTCTGGACATGGTAGGGGAGGGCTGAGTACTCACTCTGCGGGTCATGAGCTCGCTTGATGATGGCTCTTGGCTCCGGCTGCCCTTTGAAGAACTCCTCCGCCAGAAACACCACTCCGAAGCTCCCCCGGCCGTACTCTGCTGTGAAGTTTCCTGTCGCCTTCTTGATACGTGTCAGGTCAAACTCTGTCACTCCCACTGCAGGCAGGCAGGGGAGGGAAGGGGGAAGTGGGGAAGGGGGCACAATTGAAACACCACCCCAGAGCTCCCTCGCCCGTACTCCGCTGTGAAGTTTCCCGTCGCCTTCTTGATGTGCGTGAGGTCAAACTCTGTCACTCCCACTGCAGAGGAGAAAGGTGGGGCGAGTGGGGGATGGGCAGGAAGAGGAAGGGCAGAGGAGAGGAAGGGGGCGGGGGTTGGGGTGTGGAATTTTCGGATCTTTTACAGATTTTGTAAAGTTGGATATGCACCCCCACAAAGGTAAGTACTGTGTTGTTGGATAATGCACTCCCACGTTGACGAGAAAGTGCATAGCGTCTCGGATCTTGGGTGAGAAGCGGTCCAATGTGATGCAATGCAGTGCAGTGTAGCACAGAGCGGGCCAGGCAAGGAGGGCAATCAAACAAGCGTCCGACAGACGGCGCACTACACACTTAACGAGGTGACTTTTGAGTCGACTCAAAAGTCACCAGGCCAGGCAAGGAGGGCATTCAAACAAAGCGTCCAACAGACGGCGTCCAACAAAGCGTCCAACAGACGGCGTCCAACAAAGCGTCCAACAGACGGCGTCCAACAAAGCGTCCAACAGACGGCGTCCAACAAAGCGTCCAACAGACGGCGTCCAACAAAGCGTCCAACAGACGGCGTCCAACAAAGCGTCCAACAGACGGCGTCCAACAAAGCGTCCAACAGACGGCGTCCAACAAAGCGTCCAACAGACGGCGTCCAACAAAGCGTCCAACAGACGGCGTCCAACAAAGCGTCCAACAGACGGCGTCCAACAAAGCGTCCAACAGACGGCGTCCAACAAAGCGTCCAACAGACGGCGTCCAACAAAGCGTCCAACAGACGGCGTCCAACAAAGCGTCCAACAGACGGCGTCCAACAAAGCGTCCAACAGACGGCGTCCAACAAAGCGTCCAACAGACGGCGTCCAACAAAGCGTCCAACAGACGGCGTCCAACAAAGCGTCCAACAGACGGCGTCCAACAAAGCGTCCAACAGACGGCGTCCAACAAAGCGTCCAACAGACGGCGTCCAACAAAGCGTCCAACAGACGGCGTCCAACAAAGCGTCCAACAGACGGCGTCCAACAAAGCGTCCAACAGACGGCGTCCAACAAAGCGTCCAACAGACGGCGTCCAACAAAGCGTCCAACAGACGGCGTCCAACAAAGCGTCCAACAGACGGCGTCCAACAAAGCGTCCAACAGACGGCGTCCAACAAAGCGTCCAACAGACGGCGTCCAACAAAGCGTCCAACAGACGGCGTCCAACAAAGCGTCCAACAGACGGCGTCCAACAAAGCGTCCAACAGACGGCGTCCAACAAAGCGTCCAACAGACGGCGTCCAACAAAGCGTCCAACAGACGGCGTCCAACAAAGCGTCCAACAGACGGCGTCCAACAAAGCGTCCAACAGACGGCGTCCAACAAAGCGTCCAACAGACGGCGTCCAACAAAGCGTCCAACAGACGGCGTCCAACAAAGCGTCCAACAGACGGCGTCCAACAAAGCGTCCAACAGACGGCGTCCAACAAAGCGTCCAACAGACGGCGTCCAACAAAGCGTCCAACAGACGGCGCACTCCACACTTAACCCTCCCAGCAAGGTCACTCACGTTTGTCCCTCCCGTTGATCAGCACGTGCACAGCATCTCTGAACTTGGGCGAGAAGTGATACGCTGCCACGCAGGCCAGCACCATAGCTAGGAGCGGAATGAGGATGTAGATGAACACTGGGGTGTGACCTGGGGGGTGGGGGAGATAGATGGGTCAGAGGAAGGTAGGGGAGAAGGGAGGACAGAGAGCAGAGGAAGAGGTTGGAACCAGACCAGCAGCACGGAGAGGAGCGGCAGGAGAATGTAGATAAACACGGGGGTGTGAGCTGGAGGGTTAGAGGAGAGGGGAGGAAAAGCACATGGGGAGAGAGCAAGGAAGGAGGTTGGTATCAGGCCAGCAGCACAGCGAGGAGCGGCAGAGGAGTATACATGAACACGGGTGTGTGAGCTGGAGGGTTTAAGCGGGGTCAGGGGAGAGACGAAGACAGAGAACAGAGGGCAGGCATTAACCATCCGCTGTGGTATCAGACCAAACCAACCCCTACTCACTCCTTTCCACCCACCCCCCCACATCCCCCCCAGAGCACACACTCACTGGAAGACGATGCTTGGCTGCTCTGCTGGCTTCCAGTGCTGCTGCTGCTCCCGTTGTCGTAAAACTGCTGGTAATCGTCCGCTGTGGTATCAGACCAAGTGGCATTGACTGCCGCACTCAACCCCATTCAACCCAACCAAATCCCAGCCAACCTCCACTGCACACTCACTGGAGGACGACTGGCTCTGCTGCTGCTGGTTACCACCGCTGCTACCCCCCATGGTCTCGTTGTCGTAAAACTGCTGGTAATCGTCCGCAGTGGTGTCAGACCAAGTGGCGTTGTCAGCCGCATAGTCATTGCTGCCATCATCCGTGGTGGTGGTGCCGTCGCTGGTAAAGGAAGGCTCCGCACACGGGGATTGATCCGGCATTCCCTCGTAGCAGTTGTGGTCGTATCTGGTGCGTGTGTGGTGGTGGGCGGGGGTGGGGGGAAACAGTGGGGAGAAGCGGGGAGGGCGGAGAGCAAGTTAGGGTAGAAGGACGGCTCCGCACACGGGGGATTGATCCGGCATCCCCTCGTAGCAGTTGTGGTCGTATCTGGTGTGTGTTGTTGGGGGGGGAAATACAGAGCAGGGACGAGGGTAGGAGAGGGGAGGAGACCAAGTGCTATTGTCAGCTGGTAAAGGAAGGCTCCGCACACGGGGGATTGATCCGGCATCCCCTCGTAGCAGTTGTGGTCGTACCTGGTGGGGAGAGTGGAGAAAGGTGGGGTGGGGAGGACCGGGGAGGTGCAGGGGGAAGGGTGTGTGAGAAGGTGGGTGAAGGAAGGCTCGGCACACCGGGATTGGTCCGGCATTGCCTCGTAGCAGTTGTGGTTGTATCTGTGTGTGGTTGGGAGAGAGCGGGAAGGGGAGGAGGGGGGGGGTGTGTGAAACGGAGGCATCACCAGGCATAAGGGCAAGTCCCCGTCCAGCCCGTTCCTGAAGGGTATTTTTGAGAATTCTCAAGAATCTTGGGAGAGAGCGGGAAGGGGAGGAGGAGGGGGGTGTGTGAAACCAGAAGATATCTGACGACTCAAAGCAGTTGTGTGAAACGGGGGCATCACCAGGCACAAGGGCAAGTCCCCGTCCAGCCCATTCCCACCGGAAGAAGAGCTTTGAGTCGTCTGGAATGTCCGGCACGTCTCCTGACAGTTGATTGTAGGACACGAGCAGTGAAGTGACATGCGGCAGTGTGATGAGGCGCAAGGGCAGGTCCCCATCGAGCCCGTTCTTGGCCAGATTGATCTCCCACACGTCGGTCAGGTTGCACAGCGTGGTCCCCCCAGCCAGCCCATTCCTAGACACGTCCCATCCGACCAGATCTCACCTGGAGAGAAAGGGCTCAGCTCACCTGAAGAAGAGCTTTGAGTCGTCGGGTATGTCCGGGACATCTCCAGAGAGTTGATTGTACGACACCAGAAGCGATGACAGGTGCGGCAACGTCACCAGGCACAGCGGCAGGTCCCCATCGAGCCCGTTCTTGGCCAGATTGATCTCCCGCACGTTGGTCAGGTTGCACAGCGTGGTCGGCACGGAACCTTCCAGGAAGTTCTGGTTGAGGTACAGCTTGTTGAGAGACTCGAGCCCCCCGAGCGTGTCGGGGATGGAGCCGGTGAGCTTGTTGTTGTCCAAGAAGATTTCGACTAGGAGGGAGAGCGAGCCGAGGGAGGCCGGGATGGTGCCCGTGAGGTTGCAGTTCTCAAACGCGCTGCCAGTGGGGAGGAGGGGAGGAGGGGAGGAGGGCAGGAGGGAGGGAAGGAGGGGATGGAGCCGGCGAGCTTGTTGTTGTCCAAGAAGATTTCGACGAGCAGGGAAAGGGAGCCAAGGGATACTGGTATGGTGCCTGTGAGATTGCAGTTCTCAAACGCGCTGGGGGAGGGGGGTGGTGGGGGGGGGAAGGGCGGGGCATGGAGAAAGGAGAGGGTGTCGGGGACTTTTGAGACGTCTCAAAAGTTTTGAGACGTCTCGAAGGCCGGGGCATGGAGAAAGGAGAGGGTGTCGGTCGGTGATGGAGCCGGTGAGCTTGTTGTTGTCCAGGAAGATCTCCAAGAGGAGGGAGAGCGAGCCCAGGGGGCTGTGATGGTGCCTGTGAGATTGCAGTTCTCAAACGCACTGGGGGAGGGGGTGGTGGGGGGGGGGGAGAAGGGCGGGGCATGGAGAAGCTTGCTGTAGTTGAGGAAGATCTCCAAGAGGAGGGAGAGCGAGCCCAGGGGGCTGTCTGTGATGGTGCCTGTGAGATTGCAGTCTCAAACGCGCGGGATGGGAACAGGGAGGGGGATGGGGACGGGGATGGGGATGGGGATGAGGGACACAGGATATGCTCCTAGCATGGATCACACCAGCTACGTGTTGCCATGCCTAAGAGCTGTGGCATGAGTCATGCCATGCAATGGCATGCCATCCCAACGCATCCCCACCCCCCTTTGAGCTCATACGATGCCACGTCATGATATGCTATTCCATCCCAACCCACACCATCATGCCATGCCAAACTCATGCCATCCCATGCCATGGCAAGCGTCTCATGCCATGCCATGCCATGCCATGCCATGCCATGCCATGCCATGTCATGCCATGCCAACTCACGCCCCTTACATGGATTCCAGCAGCCACAGGCTCCCAAAGAACTCTGGCATCGTGCAATTGATGCTTGGGCCGTTCATGCCATCCCAACCCACCCATCCAAACCATACCAGCACTCTATCCCAACCCGTGCCATGCCACAACACTCACATGGATTCCAGCAGCCACAGGTTGCCGAAAAACTCTGGCACAGTGCCATTGATGCCATGCCATCCCAACCCATCGGAACCATGCCATCATCTATTCAAACCCATGCCACCGCATGCCCCAGCCCTTACATGGATTCCAGCAGCCACAGGTTGCCAAAGAACTCTGGCACTGTGCTGTTCATGCCATGCCAACCCATCCCAACCCATCCCAACCCATCCAAACCCACTTAAACCCAGTGAACCCACCCAGTGAACCCATTCAATCGTGCCATGTGTCTCATGCGCCTTACATGGATTCCAGCAGCCACAGGTTGCCAAAGAACTCGGGCACTGTGCCATTGATTCCCGTGTTGTAGCTCAGATCGCTGGGGGGAAGGAGAGGGATGGGGAAGGCGAAGGGGGTGAGGGATAGTTGGATGAACAGAGAAGGGAGGGAGCAGGTAAGAGAGAGACTGCCAAAGAACTCGGGCACTGTGCCGTTGATGCCCGTGTTGTAGCTCAGATTGCTGGGGGGAAGGAGAGGGATGGGCGAGGGGGAGAAGGTGGTGAAGGAGAGGTGGATGCGCAGAGAAGAGAGGGAGCAGGTAAGAGAGAGACTGCCAAAGAACTCTGGCTGGCACAGTGCCGTTGATTCCCGTGTTGTTGTAGCTCAGGTCACTCACTGTTGGGTACACGGAGAGAGACAGAGGAGGAAGAAAGCGGAGAAAGAAGGGTGTTTTTGAGAATTCTCAAAAACACCCTTCAGCATCACGGAGAGAGAGGTAGGGAACGAGAAGGATCAGGTAACAATAAAAACAATAATACAAAAAACTCGAGCTGTTGTTGATTCCCGCGTTAGCTCAGAGTAATGACATACAGGAGAGCACTCACATGTACATGAGCCCGTTGAGGCGGTGGTAGCTGTAGGGGATGGGTCCCTCCAGCAGGTTGGACGCCATGTAGAGCGCCGCCAGGGAGGGCAGATTGCCCAGGGCATCCGGCAGCGTGCCTGAGAGATCGTTGTCATCCAGCGCACTGGTGGGGAGGGACACAGTCACACAGTCACAGCCAAAGGAGAGGTATAAGACAGAGGGCACGGCATGTGGGGCGCCATGTAGAGCGCCGCCGGGGAGGGCAGATTGCCCAGCGCGTCTGGCAGCGTGCCCGATAAGTCATTGTCATCCAGCGCGCTGGCAGGGGGCACAGGCAAGGGAGAACATGAGGGTATGGTACAAGGCTCAGGCAGCAGGTTGGACGCCATGTAGAGCGCGCGCTGCTAGGGAAGGGAGGTTGCCCAGCGCGTCTGATAGCGTGCTGGACAGGTCGTTGTCATCAAGTGCACTGAGGCGGAAAGAGAGCGCGGAGAGGAGAGGGGAGGCGTTCGGGAGAGGAGGGCAATAAGTGGACTCTTGGGAGGAGTTGGATTGGAACAAATTGAACAAGGGAGTTCTGACGGTTCGAAGGTTTACAAGCCTGACCTTAACAAGCTAATAACGAGGATGCTGCACTCACATGGATTCAAGGGAGGTGGCCTGGGCGATTTCAGCAAAGCTGGACTTTTGTACGATATATAATCTATAGGCCTGTCAAGTTTGAGCTTATAACGAGGATGCTGCACTCACATGGATTCAAGGGAGGTGGCCTGGGCGATTTCAGCAGGAATGGTGCCAGAGAGGTTGTTAGAGAACATTTCCCTGGCGGGAGGGCGGGAGGGCGGGAGGGCGGGAAGGAGAGAAGGAGGGAAGGAGACTTTTGAGACGTCTCAAAAGTTCGGCAGGAATGGTGCCAGAGAGGTTGTTTGAGAACATTTCCCTGGAGGGAGAAAGGGAGGGGAGCGAGCGAGGGAGGGAGAGAGGGAGGGAGGGAGGGAGGGAGGGAGGGAAGGAGGGAAGGAAGGAGGGAAGGAGACAACAGGGAAAAGGAGAGTGAGTGTCACAGCAGTATTCAGTGGTTTACACATGGCACAGAGCAATGGTTGCCACTACACGCAAGGGCCAAGGTAGATAGTGGCATACGGGGTTACCCAGGTACTCACAGCACTTGCCACTGCTTGAGGTTGCCAATCCACGTGGGGAGAGGGCCCGAGAGGGAGTTCCCAGACAGAGAGAGGTTGCCAGAACAGGTGGGGAGGTATCCAGTGGTACACAGTGGCACACAGCGGTACAACATGGTATGCAATGGTACTCACAGCACGCGCAGCTGCTTGAGATTGCCTATCCACGTGGGGAGAGGGCCCGAGAGGGAGTTGCCGGACAGAGAGAGCTGCTCCAGGCGCGAGCACACCTGGATGTCCGTTGGAAATGAGCCTGAGAACTGATTCGACGCCAGATCCCTGAGAAAGGGGAGAGGGGTGTTGGGGTATGAGAGGGGGGGTTGAGGTGAATGGAGATGGAGGGTATGAAACAGCTGCTCCAGGCGCGAGCACACCTGGATGTCCGTTGGAAATGAGCCTGAGAACTGATTCGACGCCAGATCCCTGAGAAAGGGGAGAGGGGTGTTGGGGTATGAGAGGGGGGGTTGAGGTGAATGGAGATGGAGGGTATGAAACAGCTGCTCCAGGCGCGAGCACACCTGGATGTCCGTTGGAAATGAGCCTGAGAACTGATTCGACGCCAGATCCCTGAGAAAGGGGAGAGGGGTGTTGGGGTATGAGAGGGGGGGTTGAGGTGAATGGAGATGGAGGGTATGAAACAGCTGCTCCAGGCGCGAGCACACCTGGATGTCCGTTGGAAATGAGCCTGAGAACTGATTCGACGCCAGATCCCTGAGAAAGGGGAGAGGGGTGTTGGGGTATGAGAGGGGGGGTTGAGGTGAATGGAGATGGAGGGTATGAAACAGCTGCTCCAGGCGCGAGCACACCTGGATGTCCGTTGGAAATGAGCCTGAGAACTGATTCGACGCCAGATCCCTGAGAAAGGGGAGAGGGGTGTTGGGGTATGAGAGGGGGGGTTGAGGTGAATGGAGATGGAGGGTATGAAACAGCTGCTCCAGGCGCGAGCACACCTGGATGTCCGTTGGAAATGAGCCTGAGAACTGATTCGACGCCAGATCCCTGAGAAAGGGGAGAGGGGTGTTGGGGTATGAGAGGGGGGGTTGAGGTGAATGGAGATGGAGGGCTCCAGGCGCGAGCACACCTGGATGTCCGTTGGAAATGAGCCTGAGAACTGATTCGACGCCAGATCCCTGAGAAAGGGGAGAGGGGTGTTGGGGTATGAGAGGGGGGGTTGAGGTGAATGGAGATGGAGGGCTCCAGGCGCGAGCACACCTGGATGTCCGTTGGAAATGAGCCTGAGAACTGATTCGACGCCAGATCCCTGAGAAAGGGGAGAGGGGTGTTGGGGTATGAGAGGGGGGGTTGAGGTGAATGGAGATGGAGGGCTCCAGGCGCGAGCACACCTGGATGTCCGTTGGAAATGAGCCTGAGAACTGATTCGACGCCAGATCCCTGAGAAAGGGGAGAGGGGTGTTGGGGTATGAGAGGGGGGGTTGAGGTGAATGGAGATGGAGGGCTCCAGGCGCGAGCACACCTGGATGTCCGTTGGAAATGAGCCTGAGAACTGATTCGACGCCAGATCCCTGAGAAAGGGGAGAGGGGTGTTGGGGTATGAGAGGGGGGGTTGAGGTGAATGGAGATGGAGGGCTCCAGGCGCGAGCACACCTGGATGTCCGTTGGAAATGAGCCTGAGAACTGATTCGACGCCAGATCCCTGAGAAAGGGGAGAGGGGTGTTGGGGTATGAGAGGGGGGGTTGAGGTGAATGGAGATGGAGGGCTCCAGGCGCGAGCACACCTGGATGTCCGTTGGAAATGAGCCTGAGAACTGATTCGACGCCAGATCCCTGAGAAAGGGGAGAGGGGTGTTGGGGTATGAGAGGGGGGGTTGAGGTGAATGGAGATGGAGGGCTCCAGGCGCGAGCACACCTGGATGTCCGTTGGAAATGAGCCTGAGAACTGATTCGACGCCAGATCCCTGAGAAAGGGGAGAGGGGTGTTGGGGTATGAGAGGGGGGGTTGAGGTGAATGGAGATGGAGGGCTCCAGGCGCGAGCACACCTGGATGTCCGTTGGAAATGAGCCTGAGAACTGATTCGACGCCAGATCCCTGAGAAAGGGGAGAGGGGTGTTGGGGTATGAGAGGGGGGGTTGAGGTGAATGGAGATGGAGGGCTCCAGGCGCGAGCACACCTGGATGTCCGTTGGAAATGAGCCTGAGAACTGATTCGACGCCAGATCCCTGAGAAAGGGGAGAGGGGTGTTGGGGTATGAGAGGGGGGGTTGAGGTGAATGGAGATGGAGGGCTCCAGGCGCGAGCACACCTGGATGTCCGTTGGAAATGAGCCTGAGAACTGATTCGACGCCAGATCCCTGAGAAAGGGGAGAGGGGTGTTGGGGTATGAGAGGGGGGGTTGAGGTGAATGGAGATGGAGGGTATGAAACAGCTGCTCCAGGCGCGAGCACACCTGGATGTCCGTTGGAAATGAGCCTGAGAACTGATTCGACGCCAGATCCCTGAGAAAGGGGAGAGGGGTGTTGGGGTATGAGAGGGGGGGTTGAGGTGAATGGAGATGGAGGGTATGAAACAGCTGCTCCAGGCGCGAGCACACCTGGATGTCCGTTGGAAATGAGCCTGAGAACTGATTCGACGCCAGATCCCTGAGAAAGGGGAGAGGGGTGTTGGGGTATGAGAGGGGGGGTTGAGGTGAATGGAGATGGAGGGCTCCAGGCGCGAGCACACCTGGATGTCCGTTGGAAATGAGCCTGAGAACTGATTCGACGCCAGATCCCTGAGAAAGGGGAGAGGGGTGTTGGGGTATGAGAGGGGGGGTTGAGGTGAATGGAGATGGAGGGCTCCAGGCGCGAGCACACCTGGATGTCCGTTGGAAATGAGCCTGAGAACTGATTCGACGCCAGATCCCTGAGAAAGGGGAGAGGGGTGTTGGGGTATGAGAGGGGGGGTTGAGGTGAATGGAGATGGAGGGCTCCAGGCGCGAGCACACCTGGATGTCCGTTGGAAATGAGCCTGAGAACTGATTCGACGCCAGATCCCTGAGAAAGGGGAGAGGGGTGTTGGGGTATGAGAGGGGGGGTTGAGGTGAATGGAGATGGAGGGCTCCAGGCGCGAGCACACCTGGATGTCCGTTGGAAATGAGCCTGAGAACTGATTCGACGCCAGATCCCTGAGAAAGGGGAGAGGGGTGTTGGGGTATGAGAGGGGGGGTTGAGGTGAATGGAGATGGAGGGCTCCAGGCGCGAGCACACCTGGATGTCCGTTGGAAATGAGCCTGAGAACTGATTCGACGCCAGATCCCTGAGAAAGGGGAGAGGGGTGTTGGGGTATGAGAGGGGGGGTTGAGGTGAATGGAGATGGAGGGCTCCAGGCGCGAGCACACCTGGATGTCCGTTGGAAATGAGCCTGAGAACTGATTCGACGCCAGATCCCTGAGAAAGGGGAGAGGGGTGTTGGGGTATGAGAGGGGGGGTTGAGGTGAATGGAGATGGAGGGCTCCAGGCGCGAGCACACCTGGATGTCCGTTGGAAATGAGCCTGAGAACTGATTCGACGCCAGATCCCTGAGAAAGGGGAGAGGGGTGTTGGGGTATGAGAGGGGGGGTTGAGGTGAATGGAGATGGAGGGCTCCAGGCGCGAGCACACCTGGATGTCCGTTGGAAATGAGCCTGAGAACTGATTCGCGCCAGATCCCTGAGAAAGGGGAGAGGGGTGTTGGGGTATGAGAGGGGGGGTTGAGGTGAATGGAGATGGAGGGCTCCAGGCGCGAGCACACCTGGATGTCCGTTGGAAATGAGCCTGAGAACTGATTCGACGCCAGATCCCTGAGAAAGGGGAGAGGGGTGTTGGGGTATGAGAGGGGGGGTTGAGGTGAATGGAGATGGAGGGCTCCAGGCGCGAGCACACCTGGATGTCCGTTGGAAATGAGCCTGAGAACTGATTCGACGCCAGATCCCTGAGAAAGGGGAGAGGGGTGTTGGGGTATGAGAGGGGGGGTTGAGGTGAATGGAGATGGAGGGCTCCAGGCGCGAGCACACCTGGATGTCCGTTGGAAATGAGCCTGAGAACTGATTCGACGCCAGATCCCTGAGAAAGGGGAGAGGGGTGTTGGGGTATGAGAGGGGGGGTTGAGGTGAATGGAGATGGAGGGCTCCAGGCGCGAGCACACCTGGATGTCCGTTGGGATTGAGCCTGAGAATTGATTCGACGCCAGATCCCTGAGAAAGGGGAGAGGGGTGTTGGGGTATGAGAGGGGGGGTTGAGGTGAATGGAGATGGAGGGTATGAAACAGCTGCTCCAGGCGCGAGCACACCTGGATGTCCGTTGGGATGGAGCCTGAAAACAGAACTGGTTGGACGCCAGAATCCTGGGCAATCCCAACGGCCCAGAATCCTGGGCAATCCCAACGGCCCAGAATCCTGGGCAATCCCAACGGCCCAGAATCCTGGGCAATCCCAACGGCCCAGAATCCTGGGCAAGAAGAGATGGTGTTTGATGGGGTATGGGGTTGAATGGGGATGGATAGCGAGGGGGGGTAGGAACAAAAATTGCATGCTGCTGCGAGCATTCCACTTACAGCATCACAAGATTTTTCAGCTGCCCGAAGCCGTTTGGAATCTGCCCCGAAAACTGGTTGCTGGCCAATCGCCTGGGCGCACACAGGGAGGGGCAAGAGATGGGGAGGGGCAGCAAGGGCAGGAACAAGGGAAGGAATTACGGAGATTATGAAAAAGTATACTTGAGGGGCAAGGGGGGAAGGGGACAAGGAGACTAACGAATCAGGTTCGAAAGGAGCAAAGAGTGGGGGAGAAGGGGGGAAAGGTGTGGGGGAAGAGGGGGAAGGTGTACGGAAAGAGGGGGAAGGTGTAGGGAAGAGGGGGGAGGTGTGGGGGAAGAGGGGGGGGAAGGAGGGGATGGGGAGAGCCCCTCCCAGCATTCAGAGGTGCGCCAAAGGGTCGTAAGATGTCACGTCTCATTTATTCACCCCACCTCCCCCCCCCCCCCCCCCCCCCCCCCTTCCACCTCCTTCCACCCCCTTCCACCCCCTTCCCAACACTCAGACCTGCACCAACAGGGTCTGAGATGTCACGTCTCATTAACCACCAACAGGAGACGTCACGTCCCATTCACCACCTCCCCTCTCCACCCCTCTTCCCCCTTTTCCCAATACTCACAGGTGCACCAAGGAGGGCCATTCCGAGCCAATCCACTCGGGAAGGGCACCCTCAATCTGATTGCTCTCCAGCGACCTGAGAGGTGTGCAGAGGGGTGTAGCGGGAGAGAGAGGAGCGGAGTGCGGTGCTGAATGAGGGGAAAGGAGTGCAGTGTCATACTCTGCCGTAAGCCATTCTTAGCCGATCCACTCGGAAAGGGAAGGGGAGGTGGCGAGTAGGAGGCAGAAAAACAGGAAGAGGGAGAGAGAGACACCCAGGCTCTTGAGACGTGTTCAAACTCAACGGATTGGAAACTTGAGTACAGACACACGTGCATGCAGCAGGGGCGACGGACGTTCAGGTAGGTGATGCTGCTGAGGTCAGCGAGTTCAATCGGAATGTAAGGCGTCTCAAATAGGGGCACTTTTACACATGGACGGTCGTGTGGTACGGACACACGTGCAGTACGGGCGACGGACGTACAGGTAGGTGATGCTGCTTAGGTCAGCGAGTTCAATCGGGATCTCCCCCGTGAAGTTGTTAAACCCGAGGTCCCTGCGTGTGTGGGTGGGGGGGGTGGGGAGGTGGGAGAAGGGACGTGTGGGTGAGCAGCCAAGTGGGTGAGGTTGATTTTGAGAATTCTCAAAATCAACCTCAAAAAAACGGAATCTACATGCGCCAACTTAGCACGAGAAGCTGGGAGGAGAGGAACTTACAGTCTTCGCAGGGCAACCAGTTTGGCTAACTCCTGGCCTGGTAGCGGTCCCTTGAGGTTCTGATTCGACAGGTTTCTGTGGCACATGAGGGAATGGAGAAGGGAAGGAAGTGTTACTCTCTTGAGTGCTAAAAAAAAACAGTGTCTCAATCCACATCCCGTTTTGAGGCGCCTCGAAGGAAGAGTAACTCTCTTGAGTGCTAATAAAAAGCAGTGTCTCAATCGACATCCCCCTTCCCCCCTTCCCCTTTTTCCGCCTTTTACTTCCCCCTTCCCCCCTTTTCCCCTCTCAATCACATCCCCGTTACAACATCCATCGCTAACACGTACAGTCTAATAACGCGTCCGGCAGTGTTGCACGCGATCTTCCCCTCCTTCCACTGGCTCTTGCACGGGTCCCCGCCCTCCACTCCACTTCCCTCCCTCCCCATTTCCCCTGCCCGCCCCCTTGCCCACCCAACCATATCCGCGTTACAGCATCCCTCACTTACAGTCTGATAACGCGCCCGGCGGTGTTACACGCGATTTTCCCCTCCTTCCACTGGCTCTTGCACGGGTCCCCGCCCTCCACGCTCCAGGACGGCAGCGCTGCCGGCGCGTACTGAGAGAACGCGTCTTTCAACGCGAGCAGCTTCTGCACCTCGTAGGCTGGGATGGTAGGCAGGGGAGGGGAACAGGTGGGGGATGGGGGTGATGTTCGATTGCACGGGTCCCCGCCTTCCCCCCTCCACGACGGCAGAGCTGCCGGCGCGTATTGAGAGAACGCGTCTTTCAGAGCTAGCAGCTTCTGAACCTCGTAGGCTGGGGTAGGCAAGGGGGGAAGTAGACGGCGGGGCGGGGGGGGGGGGGGGGGGGGGGGGGGGGGGGGGGGTAATTGAATGCACTGGTTGATTGCTGTCGGCAGAGCTGCCGGCGCGTACTGAGAGAACACGTCTTTCAGCGCGAGCAGCTTTTGCACCTCGTAGGCTGAAATTGTAGCGGGGAACTGGGGCGGGGGCGGTGAGGAAGGAGAGGGAGGGTTGATTGCACTGGCTCGCAGGACGGCAGTGCTGCTGGCGCGTACTGAGAGAACGCGACTTTCAGCGCGAGCAGCTTCTGCACCTCGTAGGCTGATATTGTGAGCAGGAATGAGGAGCAGCATGGGGAATAGCGGGCGGGAACAACAAAATCAGCCACAGACTCAGCCAGCTCAGCCACAGCGGGCCGCCGTCTTCATAAGGACGACTCGAAGGCACTCTTCTCGGTTATTGCGCGCCCCTCTCCGTTCACCCCTTGGGGATTCAACTCACCAGGGGCGGAAAGCAGCGGATCCAACCACAGATCCAGCCACGCGAGGCTGGCGATTTTGCAGTTAATGCCTCGACTCGAAGGCACTCTCCTCGGTTTTCTGGGACCCAGAACGGCCCGTGCCGTCGAGGAACGGGCTCATGTCCGTTCCGTTCATCCCTATGGGACCAACCAACTCGCCACGGGGGAAACGGCGGATTCAGTCACCACTCTCCTCGGTTCCTGGTTGACGCTCGCCGTTTTTCCCGTGAGGACTCAACTCACCGTGGGCGGAGACGGCGGATTCAACCACGGGCGCTCGATGTAGCAACGCGACGACCACAACAAGCGAAATCAGGAGTGCGAACGGCCGCGACGACGACCACGACGCTGGCGACGAAGACGACGGCTGAAATCGTCGCCATCCCGCCAACGATTGCCGTCGCACGGGCTCTCGTCGCGGACCCCGCTCATGGCGTTGCTCCAAATTTCGTTCCTGCGACTCGGCTTGCCGCTGCACTGCCGTTGACCTACACTGGCTGCTCTCGCTCTCTGCTTTCTGTTGCTGCTCTGAACGCGCTAATAACGCGGATGAGAACGCCATTCGTGCTTCGGAGGGATGGGGCGTATATGAGGAGGAAGACGAGGCGGAGGCGGAGGCGGAGGGGCACGAAGAGGAAGAGGAGATATGCCTCCGAGGCTGCAGCTCCGGCTGCCGCTGCTCCAGCCGTGGTTTCATCGGTGCTGACGAAACGCGCAGGCTGGCGGTTGCTAGTCAACCTAGGGACGGGCAAGGATGGTAATGTTGCGGAGTCGAGAGAGCAGGGAAGATTTGGAAACGGTACGGCGGGACAAGACGGCGAAGAAAAAAAATGACTCCTGGATGGACAAGTATAGACAAGAGGAAGAGGTGCATTCAGCGTTCAGTGAGAGAAACGAGAGGAATGGAAAGGAAGAAGTTGAAACATCCGATGGCTCGGTGCTTCAACCTCGCGACCAGCATGCGACTTGACCAGAGCCGGTGCTCTGCCCGTAAAGAAATAAAACAAATGGATGCGCTATGAAGGCGCTGCTGCAGCGACCAGGTGAACAAACTCAGCGGATTCGTAAATTCAGGTTTACCAAGAGAGACATAGTAACCGAACGAGGTGACTAGTGACGGATTTCAACAGAAGATACTGTGAACGAACGAGAGTCGACCCAAAAACTCAAAGACAGGGTAAACAATGCTTTGTGCCCGCCTCGTTCATATTCGCTTCTTAGGGTAGAACGGAAGTCGATATACTACAATCTGAAGTTTGACCTTTGGCGAGACGAAACGGCATATCGTACGAAGAAGGTGTCAAAGGAGGAAAAACATGCACGAATTCGAGGCTCCTGAGAACGGAAAGCTTTGAGCTTCGCCAAATGACATGGAAATGGGAAACATGCCGAGAAGCGCTGGCAGAGGCGCGAGCTGGCCTAGGGACGCTATACGGAACGAAGGAGAAGCACACCGTAGGCGAAAACTTTCTCTTTTTTGCCATTTACCTGCTCTAAGAACTCCGTCTTCCCCGCTGCTCGAAACACTGGAGTTAGAAATCACCCTTTTTGTCGAGAGGTTCTCTAGTTAATCCCAGTTGGAGGCCGAATACTTTGGAAACGCAGCAGTTCGCACCAGGAATGCGTATCCTAGACTGCTTCTATTATGACAGCAACTCACTAAACAGCGCTTCGGACGAATTTACGACTAAAAAAGATGCTGCCTCCGTTGCGAAGAGCTATCTGCCTCTTATCTCGCTTGGCTCGCTGGTCCTTCGCGAACTTCTATGCTCATGATACGAGAACGCTGACGGTGATAATGGTGCTGAGTATGACTGCGTTAGCTTGAATATCCCCGACTTGGGATTCCCAGGGTATGACTGTCTCGAGGTTTGTACGACTGAGAGATTCCAAGGCTAGACTAGTGACAAGCTTGGGAGTATCGAGCCGAGGTTCGTCATTCCGACAGCAGAATGTTCCACAGCTTGGGGTTTGTGTTTCCATTTTCATCGCGGAACCGACGGACGCGGGGAGCGCATGAGGTGGCGCGGGGAGGTTGATGCCCCGGGCCCTGACCAGTCGTGCGGAGAGGAGTTGGTGAAACGAGAGTCAACGGGCGGTTCCTGCTCTGTGTGTGTGACTCGTCAGGCCACGAGGTAAGCGGGAAAAAACGCGTTTCATTTGGAAATTTCGTTCGTACACGTCAAGGCGCGCTGGAAAACAATTTCGGCGGTGGACCTTGATAGCGCCATGAAGTTTCCTCTGCTGCCCGCTCCCCTTAGATTGGCCAGGAGCGAACACTCTTCGTCTATGACTTCAGAGAAACACTTTCTTTTACCCTACAAATGCTGGATGGCAGAAACTGGTCAGGGGGGTGAATTTGAAACTGAGGAGGGAGAACCGTTGATGCACGGCATCGCAAGCAGGTTCCCTCGCCACCGACGTCCACGCGGAGTTGTTCGGCGGGGCACCGTGCGGGGAGGTTGTGCTGTGTTGGGGGAATGTAGCGCCCATCCTGGAAGCGCCCAAAATGCCCCGAAGAATTCGATCCAGTGTCGTTCCCCGATATAATCGTGGCATACTACTTGGGCTCTCACTACTCTTAACTGCTTCAACTTTAGATCTTGCACATATGTCACGAGCACTACTTACACAAAACACCAAGTGTCAATTCTGAAAATCCTTGGGATATCGGAATTAATTCATTTTGCAAAATTTCAAACCTTATAATGAGAGATGGTTAACACATCTATTTTGCTGTCTCTGGTTGACAAATCATGTCAACCTGCTTGCCCTCTTGGTGGAACTCAGAAATTTGAAAAATTGATTTTGAATTTCCAGAGAATCTCTCGTCGAGATGGGGACAAATTCGCTACCCGAGAGAGATTACTCTTCTTGCCTGTCTGGAGTCCGCTCTGCTCCTTCCGCCTCGCGCTAGAAGTGTTTGATGAGACCAAACTGCCTCATTCATCCAGCCAGAGCCTTTCCCCCTGTCAGTTGATCGGGTTTTGCCACCGCTGATAACACTCTTCAACGCTGCATTGTCTTTCCGTAAAAGCAGCGCACACACTGCTTCAAGCTTTCTTGTTGGCGGGTTTCATCGCTGCGATCCACAGCACACTTCCTGGTCGAGTTTAAGTCGACTCCAGAATCGGGTTTCACAGCTGCGACTCACAGTTCATCTGCACACTCCACGTAGAAAACCTGCGCACTCCGAGTTTGTTCCTCACTCCAAATTCTGCTCACTACACGCGGGTCTCATATCGTCCAGCAGCTGAGGCACAGACAAGGGGATGGATGGTGGTTGGGTGGGGTGGAGAGGGGTGGAGAGAAGTGGAGAGGGGTGTGTGTGTATGTGACAGCCTAAGAGGAGCAATGCTGATGGGTTCACATCTTCCTCTATCAACCGAAAGTCCTCCACTGTCAGCCAGAAGTCCCGCACTTGTGAATACTTCTGGTGGTAGGGAGAATAAACACACGGTGGGGAGAGCGAGAGGGAGAGAGGCAAGGTGGATTGTGGGCGGTGGTGGGGGGAACAGGGGGGTGGTGGAGGGGGAAGAGGAGGGGAAGAGGGGAGCGGAGAGGGAGGGGAATGGGAGGAGAGGCGGGGTTGGTGCATGATGAGTCATGAGGTGATTGGGAGATAATAATGAGGTGAGTGTGATGTGAACATATTGGGGTCTTCAAGATGCCAGAGGTGTTAAAATAACGCAGGCGGGAATGCGACGACAACGCAGGAAGGGATGTGACTATAACGCAGGAGAGAATGTGACAATAACGCAGGCGGGCATGCGACGACAACGCAGGCAGGGATGTGACGATAACGCAGGCGGGAATGCGACAATAACGCAGGCGGGAATGCGACGATAAAGCACGTAGGGATGTGACACTAGCGCAGTCAGGACGCACGCACTATCATGAGCTGCAGACGCATGCGCGTAGTGGTGACACCTGTCGCCATGGCATTGGCCGAGAGCACTGAGAAATGCGTCAGTGCCTCACTATCGCCGCCTTGCGCTGCTCCTCCTGCCATGGCGCATGCGTGTCTGCATTGAGCTTAGCTTGAGAGAGCGACAACTCATCACACCTAACCTGACGGAAGGTACATACAGCAACCGGACCAGACGGATCTACAGCAACCTGACGGAACGAAAGAAACGCGGAGCGAAAAAATATCCCGGCCCCGCCCGAAACTACGCAACTAGGCAAGCTTACGGGTAGTGATGCCAGTGGAGACGAGAAGGGTAACTTTGCGTCACATACGGTTCGACTTAGGCTGTGAGAAAAAAATTACGCTGACGGTTAAAGCTTGCTAGGGTTAAATATTTACCGCAGGTGCGGTATTAGGTTACGCATCGAGGCTCTCGCCAGATAACTAGGACGGCATAACAGGAAGCGGTACAGCTCGGTTTCAAAAGGTTTGGCACGGAAGCGGAATTTTTTGACGAGCTTTCTGAGGACGGCGACGGGACGACGCGCGACGAGACTACGCGCGACGACATGGATTCTCTCTTGGCGATCGGGCTGAAAGGGGAATTACCTGTCGAACACCGGCGAGACGAAGCGCGATACGACTAAGTGCGATGAGATGAAGAGCGACGCGAGGCGAGGCGAGGCGTGCGTTTTAACGGCAACTCTGAGATTAGCTAGTTAGTAGTCAATTACAGCGACCATAGTCCTGCTATCAGAAGTCTTATCTCGATCTTTTTATCGAAGTGTGGAGAACCAGATTTGAAAAGTACAGAAACATACAACTGATAGAGTCTACTAATAGAGCCAACTGCTCGTAAAGCCAACTTATAGAGTCTATTAACTACAAACATACAAGTCGTAATAGAATACTAACTAACTAGCATGCAAATCTGCTAAAGCTGTTAAAGTGCTTCAGTCGCGCCATCCACAGCAGCTTGGTTCTAGAGCTTGAGTCTTCAGCTTGGGTCTTGAGAGTCTTCCTCGATCTTGGTTCTTCTTGACCCCTCTTGGCCGCTAGAGGCAAATGCCTCTAGCGTTACACCCGCACACCGCGTTGAGGTGGAGGTCATTCGTGCGGGACCCTGTTTGGGAGGGGGGAGGGACGGCTGAAAATTTCAAAAAGGAAGGGGAGGGTTAAAATTATTACTGTAGCGGCGGAAAACACCTCAGCTCCTCGGTTGAAGAGATGCCAGGTTGTCAGAAGAGTTGCCCGAAGAGGCACGGAAAACGCACCTGTACCAAATTACCTGACCCCAACCCCACCCCCGCGCGCGCGGCCTAACTACACCCACCCAAACCCACCCAAACCGAATCTGCAATTGGGGAGGGGGAATGGGGAGGGAGGGGAGGGGGGGGTGAGGATGAAACCTCCTCCTCCAAGCTCCTCGCCGCCAGCGCCGCTGTCCCCGCCAGCGTAGTTGTCCCCGCCAGCGCCGTTGTTTCCGCCAGCGTTGTTGTCCCGCCAGCGTCGTTGTCCCCGCCAGCGTTGTTGTCCCGCCAGCGCCGTTGGCTCCCGCCCTCTCCCGCAGCTCCTGCGCTCAGAGGAAAACACACAACGAAAAATGTTAGTATACGGTAAAAATGAAGAAAGTAACTGAAACTGACACTTACCAAGAGAGACGAGCAATCGACGCCGCCAGCGCCGTAGACTCCTGCGCTAAGAGTGAGAACAAAACAGAAAGTTAGAATCCGGAAAAAAAAAACACAACAAAACCAGAATTGACAGTGTACCACATGGATGGGAGTCGTTGCAGCCAGCGCCGTCAGCTCCCGCTCCCACTTCCACGCCGTGAGCTGCACTAACACAGAACACGAAGCACGAAATTAGGATCCGGGAAAAAGAAACACAAGAAAACCGGAATTGACAGCGTACCATGTGGATGAGCTGTTGCAGCCTCCCGCTGCCGCCAGCGCCGTCAGCCCCCACCCTGATGTCGCGAACTGCACTGAAACAGAGCACGAAGCAAGAAGTGAGAATCCGGGAGAAAAAACACAAGGAAACCGGAATTGACAGCGTACCACGTAGAGTCGTTGCTAGAAGTTGAGCTCCCGTTCCCGTCGCCGCCACCGTCGTGAGCTCCGCTCCCGCTCCCGCGCCGCGAGCTGCACTAAAGCAGAGCACAAAACAAGATAGTTAGAACATGGAATACAATAACACAAGGAACAGGAACTGACAGCGTACCAGCGCGAAGGAGTTGTTGCAGCCAGCGCCGTCAACTCCCAGCCCCGCTGCTCCCTCTGCGCTAAGAGAGAGAGAAAAAAAGGAAAAACAAAAGTTAGAACATTGGTAAAAAAGGGAAAGAAAACTGGAAACGTGACTTACCATGGGTCCTGTCCGTCGTTGGCGCTCCCACTCTCGATCCTGATGGCTGCACTAAGACTAGAGCACACAAGAGGGAGTTAGAACCGTGAAGAAAACAAAAGCATGAAACTGGAAGCGACTATTTACCATGTGAGTGACGTTGCCGTGCCGTGCCGTGCAGTGCAGTGCAGTGCCGGAAGTCGGTGCAGTGCAGAAGGGGTAGTGGAGCGGGAGGGGGGGCGGAGAAGTCGGGCTGGGGCTACCCTCCCTCTCCGCCGCACCCCTGCCCCAACCCCGCTCGCACAACCCCGCAGGCCCCTCCTCGTGTGAAGCTGTCTGCTCACATGGCGATTCAACCCATCAAGATACCACGGCGAGGAAAACCAACGAGAAAAAAAACGAGAAGAATGGCGAGGAAAACGAAGCAAACGAAAAACAAACGGGAAAATCCGCCAGCGAGACGCGCCATCCGCCCGTGAAACGCGCCATCCGCCCGTGAAACGCGCCATTCGCCTGCGAAACGCGCCGTCAGCACGCGAAACGCGCCGTCCGCCCGCGAAACGCGCTGTCCGCCCGCGAAACGCGCTGTCCGCCTTCGAAACGCGCCGTTCGCCGGCGAGAAACGCGTCCGTGCGCCCCTGCAGGAAGAAAACAACAGCATTAGCAACCGCCAATGAACGGAAACCTTCAACAAGAATCGCAGTCACCAAGGCGGGAAACAGCTGATAAGCGACGGTCCAATACGCGAGCTACTACCTCAACCGAAGCCTGGCGCAGCTGGTAAGCGACGGTCGCAGCTGGTAAGCGACGGTCGAAGCGTCGCAAAGGGCCGCCGATGCCCCGTGCGCCGTTAGACGAGCCCGAAGAAGCGTCGCCCTTCGACCATACGTCGCCATGAGTCGCCATGAGTCGCCATACGCCGCTACGCGTCTCCATACGCCGCTACGCGTCTCCGCACGCCGCTACGCGTCGCCATACGCCGCTACGCGTCGCCATGCGTCCCCATGCACACCATCCGTGATTCGCGCCCGGGCGTCAAGGTGCGTCGCTGGCGGACGGTCAGGTTCTGCAGTAAGAAGGAACACGAGAATCAGTGGAGGAAGTAAAGACACGAAACCGAAGCGTAAACAGCGTAACCGCCAATGCATGTTGAAAAGCGAGGCGCTGAAGCTCACGTTACCTCAACCGCAGCGAGGCGCAGCTAGTAAGCGACGGTCGAAGCGTCGCCAAGGGCCTCCGATGCGCCGTGCAGGGTTAGACGAGCCGCCGAAGAAGCGTCTCCCTTCGACCATACGTCGCCATGAGTCGCCACGCGGTCGCCGCGCGTCGCCATGCGTCGCCGCGCTTCGCCATGCGTCCACCATCCGTGAGTCGCGGTGCGTCGCCGGCGAACGGTCAGGTTCTGCAGTAAGAAGCAACACAAATCCGTCAATACACGAATCAATAAAGTGAGAAAGTTAAGACACGACACGAAGCGTTACCGCCAATAAAAGCTGAAAGTGCGAGGCGCTCATGGTCACGTTACCTCAACCGGAGCGAAGCGTCGCTGCGATCGTAGCTGGTAAGCGACGGTCGCAGCTGGTAAGCGACGGTCGCAGCTGGTAAGCGACGGTCGCAGCTGGTAAGCGACGGTCGCAGCTGGTAAGCGACGGTCGAAGCGTCGCCAAGGGCCTCCGATGCGCCGTGCACGGTTAGACGAGCCCGAAGAAGCATCTCCCTTCGCTATGCATCGCCATGAGTCGCCATACGCCGCCATGAGTCGCCATACGCCGCCACGCGTCGTCGCGCTTCGCCATGCGTCCACCATCCGTGAGTCGCGGTGCGTCGCCGGCGGACGGTCAGGTTCTGCAGTAAGAAGGAACACGAGAATCAGTAAGGGAGGAGTAAAAACACGTAACCGAAGCGTAACCGGCGTAACCGCCAATGCAAGCTGAAATGCGAGGCGCTGAAGGTCACGTTACCTAGCGGACGACACGAGCGGACGGCGACGGACGGCGACGGCGAGCGTGACTGCGACGACAAGCCGAAAGGACGCGATCGTCGCTTTCGAGATGCTTTCGAGAGTCGCACAAGACCTGGAAAGAAGAACGCAACATATGAGACAGAAACATACTAGTACAAGTGAGACAGAAACAAGAATTATGAACCAAGAACTTAAGTTTGAACAAACTAACAAACTTACACACGTACCGTTGGCGAGCGGATCTTGACCAGTGATGCACGGCGTTCAAGTGATGCACGGCGTTCAAGTGATGCACGGCGTTCAAGTGATGCACGGCGTTCAAGTGATGCACGGCGTTCAAGTGATGCACGGCGTTCAGTTGATGCACGGCGTTCAGGTGATGCACGGCGTTCAGTTGATGCACGGCGTTCAAGTGATGCACGGCGTTCAGTTGATGCACGGCGTTCAGGTGATGCACGGCGTTCAAGTGATGCACGGCGTTCAGGACTGCGACTTTCGGGTCCCGTAGCTCGTGGCTTAATCCGTCAACGGCGATGAAGCGCCTGCTCGCCAACGGTAAATGCACGGCCTGCAGGGAGATATAGAAACACATTAGTACTAGAGAATATGCTGCCGAAAAGATAGGACTATGCGTTAATTACGAAAAGGGCTTCACTTGCCATCTCGACGCAACTTGACGGCGCACAACAAGCCGAAATGCAGCCGTGATCGTTGCTGCGTCGGCGATTGTTGTTGCGTCGTGGCTTTCGAGTCGCCTTCGAGTCCCTTTCCAGTCGCCAAGATAGTCGCCGAGGTCTGAAAAGACAAGGCAACAGATTAGTACTTAGACAGTGAGAAAGATAACATAGAGGTATCACTTACAGCTTAAATCAGAGGTATCACTTAATCAAGTCAATGATCCACTTACCTCAACAAGTCTGCCGTTGGCGAGCCGGTCTTGACCCGGCCTTTCAGGTTCGCGACTGTCAGGTGAGAGCCAATCTGAGAGCCAGGTCTCACGGTCTTGACTTGGGCCTGGGCCACTCGGCTTCAGTTTGCGATCGAATGCCGTGTAGAAGCACGGCATTCAATCTAAGGTACTCTGCAGAAGCTTGATCTTGAAGGAGCTTCCAGCTTGGGATCCATCGTCTGCAGGAAAACATCTCAGATCCAGTTAAAATATATTTCAGAAAGAAAGAAAAAGGAAAATGATTGACGGAAAAGTTGAACGAACAAATCAGACGATCGTGCGAAAAAGAAAAGATCTTACCTTCAGTCGACCGTCTTCATCCAGGTGGTGAAGACTTGAATGACAGGAGCGACGGAGATGCTGCACAAGAAGGGGCTTGGGCTTCCGGCTTGGCTTGGGTTTCGAAGCGCCGTCCCGTGATTGAAGCGGCTTTCCGTGATTGAAGCGCCTCCCGCGAGCTTGACTTAAGCTTCAGATTCTCCGAGATTAACAGCGGCAAGATGATCTGCAGGAGAATAATTAAAAAAATAAGAAATCAGTTAGAAACCATTTCGAAAGCTCGTCAAACAGTGAAGCAATTGCAGAAAGTAGTTGAACGATGTTGCACGATTCGGGCCAGGAACATGTTGTGAAAAACTGCTGTTACCTTCACTCGGCCGTCTCCATCCAGGTGGTGAAGACTTGACTGGCAGCGGTGACGGATGTCGCACCACCAGCGGTGACGGGGATGTCGCACCACCAGCCTGAAGATATTTCCGCCTGAAGCTCTTTCCGCTTGTAGCTCTTTCCGCTTGAAGCTCTTTCCGCTTGTAGCTCTTTCCGCTTGTAGCTCTTTCCGCTTGAAGCTCTTTCCCCTTGAAGCTCTTTCCGCTTGAAGCTCTTTCCGCTTGGAGATCTTTCCTCTCGAAGCTCTTTCCGCTTGAAGATCTTTCCGCTTGAAGCTCTTTCTGCGCTTGTAGATATGATCTCGCGGAACGTATATCTTGCAGTGGAGAGCATTATCTTCTCGCGGTGATATGTTGCCGCGAAAATCCGGAAGCACACGGTTCAGCCCGAAACACTTGGCAGCTCACTCCTCACGACACCTAACCTACCCAACCCACCCCATACCCTCTAACTCAACGCCGCCTCATGCTTCGGGCCTCCCCGTGTGCTTCAGGTAGCTTCAGGAGCTCATTGAATTGGAGCTCTTTGAGAATCCTTCCGTGAGATTGAGAAGGAAGGAAAAAAACGATACAAATGCAACATCGCTAGATTAAATGGAGCGGAGGAGATGATTTAGAGAGGTGCAAGCGGAAGGTAGGTGCTGAAGCAGAAGGAAAAGCGTGCTGCTGAACGAATTCAGCGCAGCCATTCTCAACGGCGGCGGTCGCGGTACGTCTTAGCGGCTCTCCAACCCAAATGTGATAGGCGAATGCAGGTTGGAGTGATACTAAAATGCAGCATTTACCTAGGTGCAGTGCGGTGGGACGGGGCGCTCTAAACTGTGTGGGAGGGAATTCCTGGATTCTGACACCAGGCTGGGCGCGCGGTGCGATAAAGTTCAGTGTGATGTGAATGGATGGATGGTGGTGGTGCAGCTGACCGAAACGGTGAAGAGGTGTGGTGGCTCAAGTCCCCGCCTTATCCAGCCAGACCAACACAGGTTGTACAGAACATTCGTTTTACACATTCGGGATAGAAATTGGTGAATGGTTTTACTTCGTCTGTATGCAAACGCGTTTGCCAAAAGCGCGTGGTTCTGGTTAGGGGGGTTTTCGAGCGTGCTGAGGTTCAACAGCAACGGCAGGCTCGGTCTTCTAGGAGGTGGTTGACGTGGCGCTCTCTTTAGTTGGGCCATAAGTTTTTTTTTTTTAGCGAACGCATGTGAGTTTTGCGTGAGGTGCGGGACGGCTTTGGTTTAGTTATAAGAGTCGTGAGTGGCGCGGTAAAGTTCAGCTGACTCGCTAAACCTACCTCGGGCAGCTGGCAAAACTATGGGTGGATGAAATGGAGATTTACGTGAGCGAATAGAGATGGTGTTTTTGCCACCATGGCACACCCACCACGACATTATCAACAATCCGAACCTCGAGTTGCCGAGCCTGCCACACCAAATCCTCTCCCCCAACCGTCATATTCTCCAGATGGTATAGCGCGAGACTTGACTTGCATTCAGTGGTAGTTTTATCTCTCATCTAGTTAGCTGTTCCTTGATTCTTGTTTCTTGTTTACCAGATCTTAGCGCGGTAGTCGACGTGGTGCGTACGTGCATCTTGTTTTTATGGCAGCGAGTTTCATCATTGTTAAGGTTACACACTCTAAGGGTCGTTTTTAGTATTCGTCGCTTCACGCGTTTGGTCGCGTTCTTGCAGAATCAGATCTGATATCAGACATTTCAGTTAGTAGCCCCACCGCGTTCGGTTGCACGCCTCCAGATCTGACGTTTTTATTACTAGCGGATCACGGACGGAGTAGGTATCAGTCGCCCGCGGACGAATTAGTTGCGTCGCTTTCAAACGCAGCGCGTTTCGCCGTTTTAAGGGCGCGTCGACAGTAGCCGGACGCAAGACGGAAATAAGGAGGGCGGGAGGTGAGTGGCGGGCAGGAAAGGCGGAATGAACGGGTGGAAGCTTTATTCGAGGACGGAGAGTATCCGCGAAAGGTAAGAGTCTAAGCGGCCAGTTTCCCCTTAAATTTTGCGCTCCCACCTCCCCCTTACCCCGCTTTCCCGCTCTCCCCCGTCTTTTCCGCTCTCCCCTCATCTTCCCCGCTCACCTCTCGTGTCCCTTCCGCGCTCTCTTGCTCTCCCCCTCTGTAACCACCTCATCTCCCCTCCACTCCCCCCCTCGTTTCCCCCTTCTTCCCCTCCCCCCGTCTTCCCCCATTTCCGACTCATCCCTAATCCCCTCCGCACACCCATAACTCAAGTGTTCCCCCACTCACGCTTCATCTCCCTCCCCATCCACCCCTCGTCTCCCTCTCCTCCCCTACCACCGCACCCTCATTATTCTTCGTCTCTCTCACTCCCCTCCCCCTTCCGCACAGCCTAACCACCTCACATTTCCCCCCCGCCCTCCCCTCAGCTTTCAACCACTCATCCCTCATCTGTCCCCACCCATTCACCACTCATTCCCCTTCCCCTGTGTGACTGGTCTGGCAGGTGGCTACTTGTGATGTGACTGTATGTGATCTGGCTGCATGTGACATGGCTGTATGTGATGTGACTGCGTGTGATGTGGCTGCATGTGATGTGACTGCGTGTGATGTGACTGTATGTGATGTGACTGCGTGTGATGTGTCTGTATGTGATGTGACTTCGTGTGTTGTGACTGTATATGATGTGATGTGACTGCGTGTGGTGTGACTGTATGTGATGTGACTTCGTGTGTTGTGACTGTATGTGATGTGATGTGACTGCAGGTGATGTGGCTGCTGCTCGTGATTGCTGTGAGTCTTCAGTCAAATTTGTGAATTTCCCAAACCCGTGTGGCACTGTCTGTAATTGACTTCTTGCTAGCATGTCATTGCCTTACCGTAATAGCTGCGTGGTCTCTGGCTCGTGGCTGCATATGATGTGACTGGTTTGCGTGGCATGGCAGCCACAGCACCACTCTTTTTGGTTCCTGGTTTGACAGTTGGCTGGCTGCGCATGATGTGCGAGCAGCAGCCCCACTAGTTTCTGCTATTATACAACTTTTGATTGATTGAATAATGTAGCCTGTTTGTACCTAGCACTTTGATACGAGTTTTTTTTGTAGTGTCATGTCAGATTCACATCACACTCCAGTCTGCTATGCAAATCTGTATACCCTGACACAGTACGATGATGCTGAAGTTGAGCAGTTGCTGACAAGGAATCAACATAGCCTAGCAAATTATCCTAGCAAATGTAATGCTGAATACAGGTGTACCAGTGGTGTAAACTCCTGGCAACTCAAGAGGCACTGGTGCCATACCTACTGGTACTGATGAGGATAAATCCCCCCATAGTTCACGCTGTTCACACTGCTCAGTCTATTGGTAATTTCAACCAGGAGGCTTGCATTGCAACCTTTGGTGGGCTCCCTTTGACCTTAATTATGCCTGTGTGAATTAGGAAGCTAGAACAGCAAAATCAGTAGCTGGGGTGTCGAGTCGACAATGGTGGTGCATCCTAGCTAATGGGAGCACAGGTGTAGAAATGGCACAGGTGTATCAGTGGTGTAAACTCCTGGCAACTCAAGAGGCACTGGTGCCCTACTGGTGTAGAAATGGCACAGGTGTTAACGAGGAAGCGGAACTTCCAACTTCAGAGCAGCGGATTTGACCGTGATAGTCTGATTGAACCTCCCCACCCCATTCCCTCCTCTTCCTCCTCCGCTTCCTCCCTTCCAGCCCGCCACCCTCCCTCCTCTTCCTCCTCCACCACCATCCCATCTATTTCCATGACCAGATACCACTGATACCTCCTCCTCAACACCCCCCTCCCTTTCTCAAAGGAGCGGGTTTGACCGTGACGTGATCGCCTGATTGTACCTCCCCACCCCATCGCCTCTTCTTCCTCCTCCCCTTCCTCCCTGTACCCCCTCCCCCTGTGCAACTGCGCTCCAAAGAAGCGGGTTTGACCGTGACGTGATCGCCTGGTCGTACCTTCCCACCCCAGTGGGAGGAGCGTTTAAGACTTCTCAGAAGTTTCCAGCCAAAAAAAATCTTCAAATGAGCGGGTTTGATCGTGATCGCCTGATCGTACCTCCCCATCCCCTCCCCTCCTCGTCGTCCTCCTCTTCCTCCCTTCCCAACCTTCCACCCTCCCCATTTCCATCCTCTTCCCCCTCAACTACCATCCCATCTATCTCCATATCCGATCCCACTGATAACCCCTCCTCCTCAAAACCTCCCTCCCCTTCCCCTCCTCCCTCCTCCCCTCCGCCTACTCTCCCATCTTCCCTTCCTCCCCCCGCTTCCACTTCCCCCTCCTCTCCCCCCATTCTCCCCCTTGTCCGCCCATCCGCCAGCGAGCGAGAGTGAGTGAGGGAGCGAGGGGGGGGAGTGTTGGGGGGGGAGGCGGAGGAGGAGGGGGAGAGGGGAGGGGAGGAGGCGTTGGGGGGGGAGGAGGTGGAAGGGCGGGTGGAGGGGGAGGGGGAGAGGCGGGGATCGTGTGTGACGATGTAGTGAAGCAGGTCGGGATGGATTGTGGGCGGTGCTGATGGGTTCACACCTTCTTCTGTCAGCCAAAAGTCCCTCACCTCTGAGTATTTCTGGTGGTGGGGAGAGAGAAGAGCGGGAAGGGGAAGGGGAAGGGGGAGTCGAGGGGGAAAGAGGCAGAAAGAGGTGGGAAGAGGTGGAAAGAGGCGCTGATGGGTTTACATCCTCCACTGTCAACCAGAAGTCCCGCTCTCCTAAGTACTGGTGGTGGGGAGAGAGAAGAGGGGGAGGGGGAGGAGGGGGAGGAGGGGTAGGAGGGGGAGGAGGGGGGAGAGGAGTCGTCGAGAGGGATAGAGGCGGAAAACGGACGGAAAGAGACACCGCTGGGCTCACATCCTCCTTTGTCAGCCAGAAGTGAGGCGTTTCTGAATATTGCTGGTGGTGGGGAGAGGGGGAACGTAAACGTGACAGATCGGCAGCCATGGAGTGTGAATGTGAACATTACGAGGTCATCAAGAAGCAAGGGCTGTGACAATAACGCAAGCAACCAGGGATGTGATCATAATGCAAGCAGTATGTGACAATAACGCAGGCAGCACAGCCATAGTAGCACAGGCAGGGAGTATGACAATAACGAAGACCGGGAACATGACAGAAAGTAGGCAGACATGTGATGTGACTATAGCGCACGCACTTTCATGAGCTGAAGGCGCATGCGAGTGGTGACAATAGCACTGGGCAGGGACGTGACAATAGCGCAGGCAGGGGTATCATGATCTCGCCGGCAGAGATGTGACTAAAGCGCACGCACCTTCATGAGCTGCAGGCGCATGCGCGTGGTGGTGACACCTGTCGCCATGGCATTGGCCGAGAGCACCGAGAAGTGTGTCAGTGCTTCCACTATCGCCGCCTTGCGCTGCTCCTCCTGCCATGGCGCATGCATGTATGTATGTGGGGGAATAACATGGGCATAAGACACCAAGAACAGCATGAGTGGCAGAACACGAGCACATCATTGGCTGGAAACAAGGCTTAAGTGTGTCAATGCCTCCACTATTGTCCCCTTGCGCTGCTCCTCCTGCCATGGCGCATGCGTGAATGCATAACAAACCACACAGAATCACACAGAGCCACACAAACATCACACAGAGTCAAATCACACAGTCGCATCACACAGAGTCGCATCACACAGAGTCACATCACACAAAGTCACATCACATAGAATCACATAGCACCTGACGGAAGGATCAGCAACCTGATGGAATCTAAACCTGAAGGTACAACCTGACGGAGCGACAGCGACCTGACGGAGCGACAGCGACTTGACGGAGCGACAGAAACGCGGAACAAAACCAGAGCCAAATAAGACGAGTCGGCTTGCCTCGTATGTCATCATTGCGGCGCGATCAATCTTCCCGCTTCGCTTCGCGCGTCGCCCGAACTCGCAATTAGGGCAAGACCATGTGTACGGACGACAGTTGAAACGAGGGGTGAAGCTAGTAAGTTTACCTCAGAAGAGGGTAAGTAGGCTTAGGCTGGAGGGAAAGAGTTCTCTGGCGGTTATAGCTCGCTAATAGCAGGTGCGGTTTTGCGTTACGTACAGATGCTGCCAATAGGTAGCGAAGGAAAGATACATGCTGCATGCAGCTGTCAAACATGCGGAACTAACCATACGGAAAACCTTGGTAGCTTGATTCAGTGGCCCTGTTCGACAGACCTGAGGGTGCATTCCTATTTCGTGTCAGACACGAAGTGGAGGTTTGGATGGAGGTTCGGAAGACCCGAAGTGGCCCACTTCGGGTCTTCCGAACATTGATTTGCCAGAGTTCCAGGTTACTTCGGGTCTTCCTCAACTTCACTTCGTGTCTGACCTCATGTCAGACACGAGCCATGTCAGAACACCCTAAGTAGAAACAGCCGAAATGATTCTGCGGAAGGGCTTGCCTGCCTGTCGAAGAGGGTCAGTGAGCACAAGAGTTTTTACTAGGGTAAGTAGCTTTCGCAGGGGTACTACTAGCGACCCTGCGCTTTCAAGGGGACTACAGTGCTATATGCGGGCACTTTCCGCCACTCCGCCACTCCGACAGGAACATTATGGCAACAACACAGAACTCGGTCCCACATTCACCCAAATTTGTGACACGTGGGTGAATGTGGGACCGAGTTCTGTGTTGTTGCCATAATGTTCCTGTCGGGGTGGCGGAGTGGCGGAAAGTGCCCGCATATAGGACTGTAGTCCCCTTGAAAGCGCAGGGTCGCTAGTAGTACCCCTGCGAAAGCTACTTACCCTTTTTACAACGGCGCTGCTCTCCAGGTAGGTAGCGTTGGCATGGCAGAGGCATCAAAACGCGTCACAATTGCAGCACCGGGGAGGGTCAGGACCGAACACCGTAAATGTGTGCATCGCGTATGAAAAACGGGTTTCAATCTGCATGAGCAGTGTTAGGCTGCTTCTCCGAGCCAGGTGGGACACGACCGGATTTGCAAGTGGGGGACCGAATTTACACCCAGCTTCTCGCGCACGAGCCAAGCTTCGCTAGCGCGTCGTACAACTTCGCCTGGCTTGTGACGATGTCGTCCTGTTACCACATTGAAAGTGGCCGACGGTATGCGACGGCGATCGAACGTGGCTGGACTGGTGGCGCGATTTCGCTTCCCACGTTGCCAATCGTACGATCGATGTGCCATTTTGAGCCATACGATCTCGTCAATCTGCAAGCTCACGATCTTCGTGTCAAGATAAGCGAACTCATGATACATGTTCTCGCTAATTGGCGAAGAGACTGTACATTGTAAACACCGAACCTACACAGGATCGGTGTTGCAATTGTAACGCGTCCTCAGTTTCTGCCGCCAGAAACTTCCCCTGGCGCTCGAAGCACTTTCCCAGTCTTGGAAAATTCGCATTTCGGCTGAGGAAAGCGGGGACTCGAGAAGTGAGACTTCCGCCCTCTGTTGCAACAGTTTTTAGCATCAACCCCGGCCAGGTTTGGGTAAAAAGCAAACGGAAAACGAAAAACTAACCGGCTTCTGCTTGCTTTAGCGCTGAGCGGTTAACTTCTCTGCACATTCTTCCGACGTTAGCAAATGTCTGGAGAACAGCACCAACCATCCTGAACCGCCGTAAAGAAAATCACTGTGGCCGTGTTCGGCACGCACATGAGCACAGGCTTGGAAATGGGCTACACTAGAATGACCAATCGTGCTGCGTCCGAGCTAAGCTGTTGATCGACTATCAAGGCCGAGGATAGGCGCATCAGCACCGAAGCGAAATGAGACAGAATGACTGCCGAACGGTGTTTTTGGTCCCAGGTTTGGGAACCGAGACCTAGTTCATGGAACCATCCTCCCCTGGCAAACCGACGCACCACTCATGCGCGCATGTTGCGTTGTAGAGAGGTAGCATCCACGCGCGCATGAGTGATGCGGGGCAGCATTGAAGATTCTCCAAGTTGCTCATTGGTAGGTTCTAAGGAAAGATTGTTCGATATTGGTCAAGGAAAGTTTTGATCCCTAACCAGCAAGCCCGGACAATCTTCCTTCACCGAGCCTGCGACTGTTCCCCGCATTGTGGCACTATACCCGAAACCCAAACTTAACCATTTGGTACGTTACACCACTCCCGAACCAGTGGTCATTCCCGAGCATATATGCTCATGCGTCTGCCGAACAGGGCCTGTGGTAGGAACGATAGTGTGGTTGGGGGCTGGTTGGCGTGAATTTGATAGGGTGTCTCAAATCCCTCGGTCCACCCTGGCTCTATGCGGTCGATGGGGACCAGTCCACCAAACCACCTCGGACCCAAGGGTGGACCCGCTCTCTGAGTGAATGAGGACCGTGGGTGTAGCAAACCAGCACCCTCGTTTTAGCGGCGAAAGGGACTATAGTGGGGAGGATCCTCTGGTTCGGCGAGATCGGTGTGGCTAGGAAGGCGCATCGATCGTCATCAGCGGAGGTGACAAGATCGTTGAGCGCCAGTTACTGTACATTCGCAAGCCGTCTAGAAATCTGGTTACCCTGTCAATTGCGACACTGTATCTGTCCCTCGATCAATCGAGGGCAGGACCGATCGAGGGAGGGGACGCGACCTAAAGGGTATGGAGCTTGTTCGGTTCGGTTTAATTGTTTCAAGTTCGTTTCATTTTGTTTCTGGTACTCGTGTGAAACTAGCATGGCATTCCTTGATTGTCTGTCCCGGGGGGGTGACGGACGGGGGCTGGCTGGAATTTGACTGGTCGCCGTTGGTTTCCTCTCGGATATTTCCAGTGTTGGAACATAACTTCAATTCCAGCCTTTCAGCTCAACCCGAAATAGATGTAGACGGCCTCAGGGAAAACGCGGCTCGGGCGCTAGGACCTACCTAGACCCACTCCTCCAATTTGTCCGAGGCGAAAAAAACTAGACCTAGCTAGACCAACATTTCGCGCATTTAACTTATTTCCAGATAGATGATTGGCAAAGGGTAACCATTTCGCCCAACCATTCTTTGGAGTGAACGGTTGACGAGGTGATCAGTAACCACGTCACTAATAGTGAAATTTGACCACTAAGCGGTAGTGCGCGAACGACCGACCAGTGTCGCTCGAAACTCTGTAGTGTATTATATCGTTGAATTCAATTTGATCAGTATACTTGTTGTGGCGGTTTAGTTTCATTGTATTGTGGGTTTTGTGAATTCAGTGAATGATACGTGTTTTTGAGGTTTTATTTTTTGTTGGTAAATGAATAAAGGATGTCTCTGGGTTCCAATTCATTGCATTGCCAATGGTTTATTTGCACATATAGTCATGCAAATGGCTTAAATATACAGCTTAATGTGTGCTTTTTAAAGATGTTTTATGCTTGTGTGATTGGTTTTCCAGAGATATTTTTCTATATTTTGTCTCCCCTAGTACCCCCCTACGAGTTTCAATCATATTTGAAAGTGTGCCAATGTTTGCACTTTTTGGTTCTTGTTAGCTATATCAACTATGCTTGTCGTACATGACAAGTCATTCCACCGCAAACATCAAGACAAACTTGGTTTTTTTTTTTTTTTTTTTTTTAATTCTAGGTTACATGTTGTTTTTTTAGGCTTTGTCTGGCTTGGAAAGGCTTGTAAACCACCCTTGTCATGTCAAACCAGTGGTGGAATGTACAAAAAATGATGAAAATGGATTCTTGCTTGCTTGGGGGTATTTGGCCTTTGTTAGCTGAGTTTTTATGAGATGGCTTTGTATTTTGCCTCTCCTTATACTCTTCACTATGTTGTCAACATCCATGAACGGGTTAATAATGTCAAAATGCAACAAGATATGACTGTACAAGTCTCATTTTCTTGTTATTGTTGGTTGTGGTATTAATGTGTGAGCGTATCTATTTAAATGTTTTGAAGTCTATGGGTCTCTCTTTGACTGCCTCCCCACACTGCCTTTATTTAAGGTTGGCATTGAGCCCTTTTCTTTGTCAATTCATAAAGCCTGCAGTTGAGTTTTTTGAGAATTCAACGTTTCAGTTGCTGGGTGTACTGTTAGATTCTCATAGTAAATGTGACCATGGGTTTCGAGTGTGTTTGTGCTAGAAAAAAATCTTCACGTAATCGTAGCCATCTAAAACGACGAATTTGGGCGGAATTTTAGACCACAACGTGTCAAATTGGAATCATCCAAGGTTGAGCCATGCAGAGAACAGTTATAAGTTAGATTGCGTGGTGCATGGCGTTCGGTCGAGGTGCAGCACATAAAGAAATGCACATGGTCATTCAGAGAAATATTCGTGCGAAAATTCTAAGGCATGGTCCAAATTGTACCTTCTAGCACAACACTCACTTCGAAGGTGTGCCGATTGATCGAGGACAACCTCCGGCTAGGATCGCCCTCGAAAAGAAAGGAACGATTTCGTAACGACCCCGCAATCATGCCGACACAATCTCTAAAATCAATTTTCGGAAATACGCTTTCCAAAATAGGCCATGAGGCTGAAAGTCGGAGGTATGAAAGTTAGAGAGGGTTCATTTTTCCATTTTGCAGCTTTTCTTTCAGTTTTCTTTATCTTCACTTCATTCCAACTTCTCTGCACCATATTTTCCAGTCTCCTTACGATGGAGCCCTCGATTGAACTCGAGGGGGCTGGTCTGTGTGTGCGGCTATCGCGCCTAGAGTTCGAAAACAAGCGCATCCAGGAAGCGGAGTGGTCCCAGAACATCCTCAACTTCGTGTTGCTGTAAGTCGCGATCGAACGACCAGCACTCGAAACGAGTAGGATTGTTTCGAATTTACCGTCCCTTTAAATGACGTTCCCGATTAAGAGGTGTAATCTTTAAGCATGTTTGGTACTCTTTGAGCTGTGGCGTTTCTCGATAACATCCCTTTTCGTCCGTCACCGAATGCTTGTAACGGTTGGCTCTTCGAGCAT